GATATATACTTGTAATCCCACAGGATGGATCCCTGTGACCAGTGGCCAACCGACCTAGCCCACTTGGTGACTTCCAGGCCAGTGATGGATCAAGAGTGACACTGTCTCAGAAAAAAAAAAGGTGGACATTGTCTAAAGAAGAACACCCAAGGTGGTCCTCTGGTCTCCTTTTTTAAGTTGGCAGAACAGACTTACTCACCTTTCAGAATAAAATATATTATCAACTTTAGTAAACATAGCAACATAGCCCTAAGAACAGGCTGTCCTCAAACTCACAGAGATCAGCCTGCCTCTGCCTCCTGAGTGCTGGCATTAAAGGCATATCCCACCATGCCCAGCCTCTTGTGTAATATTTTTGTGGGTTTTTTTCCCCTTAAATTTGATTTACCCTCTGTCCCTTTCTACATCCCAAATTGGAAGGAAAAATGTATCCATTCTTAATATAGCCCTTAGTTTTTCTGACTTTTTAAAATTTGGCTTATAATTTAAATTCTGTTAAAACCCTAATAAGTTCTGATTTGGATCTGCTACATATTTGGACTCATAATAGCCATTTTTATAGTTAATTAATTAGGGTCCCGGTACCCTAAGGTTGCAAGCAGATTGAGTATGGGTGGCTCCAAAGCTGCTCACTATTTCAGGTAGACTAACGGTGATTGGACGTGTAGCCTCTAATTAGGCCATACATGCAAAGCAAAACAGCACATTACCTTTTTGGCACATCTAAAGATAAATCAGTTATATTTGAAAGAAATATTCCTTCACAGTGGTGGTTATAGATGACATAGATTGCCAAAAATAAGAAAATCATTTAATGCAGCTTGGTTTAGCATCTGATGTGGGTACTGATAATTGAACTAGGGTTCTTTGGAAGAGCAGCTGGTGCTCTTAACTGCTCTCCATCTCTTCAGCCCCTTTTGCATTGTCAGAAACATTTTTTATTTGCCCCCCCTTTTTTATTTTTAATCTTCACAGTTATAGGGTTGTGACCTATAGTTTAAGAAGCTAGGCTCAGGCTGGAGAGATGGTCAGCCATTAAAAGCTAGGCTCCCAACCAAAAATATAAGAAGCTAGGCTCTAGAAGGACCCACAGGAAGGGTTGTGTTGTGTGCACCCCTAAATTCTTGAAACAGTGGTAACTCCTTATTGCCGTTTTTCTTCTGAGCTTCTTGAAAACTGCTTCATTCTTGCTTTGCTTTGAATGGTCTCTAAAAAACCTCATGTTACCTCCTGCTTTTAACCTGCCTTGAGGTTCTAATTCTTTTCTTTTTTCTTTAAAATGGATCAGTTTTCCAGAATTTGTTTTAAAGTTGATTATTCCTGGATTGCTTACTTTCTGGGGAGCTTCAGATCATCTGTGTAGTCATCCATCGAAGCGCTTTGATCTTCCTTTTCTTTTTAGAGTAGCCTTGACTGAGGCCAGCTTAGTTTTCCTTTGTCTCTGGTGTGGGGAGGGCTTCAGGCCACCCCCAGGAGCTCTGTGATTGACAGGGTTGCAATAGGTGATGATGTCGGTGGTGGAGGTGAAAAATGGGAGGGAGAAAGAGATGCTGCTGCGTTCATCAGATTCTTCTTGCCTTTCCGTTTCCTGCGCTCTGTCACGTCTTGCCCCAAGGCACTCCCTCTTCCCTGTTGAACAGTGCCTGCTTGCTGCCTGCCTGTTCAAGTGTTTTCTTCCTTACACAGCTTTACTGTGGTAAATCCCATGCAGTATAATTTATCCATTTAAATCGTGTCATTCAAGGGTTTTGCTGTGTTTACAGAGATGTCCATCCGCTGCTGTGGTCACATTAACATTTTCATTATCTAGAAAGGCACCTGTCTCACATTCCTAGTTTTCCAACATCCTCAACTTTTAGCAACTACTAATCTATTTTTAATGTATGGATTTACCGATTTTGGATATTTTATTTAAAATTCATACAATATAAAGCAATTTATAACTGACCTCTTCCATAATTTTTTTCAGGTTCATCTGCATTTTATGAATTAATACTTCATCCTGTTTTGTGATTAAGTGATGTTCCATTGCACAGATACACCACATTTTACACAATTCATCCTTTGATGAACATTTGGATTGTTTCTGTCTTCTTTTTGACTGACTATTCTAAATAGTGCTGTGAGCATTTGTGTGTATGTTTATAGGTAGTTACAAGTTTTCATTTCTTTTGGAAATATACCTAGGAGTGGAATTACTCATCATTTGGTAACTTCATGTTTAGCCACTCTAAACTGGCTGTACCATTTTTTTTATTCCCATTAGATGTACACAAGGATTCTAATTTCTCACATCCTTATAATACTTATTATCATCTGACTTTTTTTTTGAAGGAGTCACGATCTTACTGTGTTGTCCAGGCTGGCCTCAAATTCCTGAGACTACAAACTGACTTTGGCTTCTTATGTTACTTTTAGTCATCTTAGTGAGTAACAAATGGTGTTTCATGGTGGTTAAAATTTGTATTTTTCTGATGACTAATGATGGTTGGCACATTTTCATGTATTAGGGATCAATTGTGTATCTTTGGAGAAATGTCTAGTTAGATTTTTGCACATTTTAAAATCAGGTCTTTTTTTTCTAACTTTTTTTAGAATTAAGTTTTTTAAAATTATGTTGTATAGAAGATGCAGGTGCTGGGAATCAAATGGGGGCCCTCTGCGATAGTAGTATTTGCTCTTAACCGTGGAGCTGTCTTCCCAGTCCCCGAGCAATCTTGAAAACTTTCTGGGTTGTATTTTTGGTAGATCAGAGACTGATCCCAGGGCCTTGAGGCATGCTAGACAAGTTCCCTGCTACTGAGTGCAGTCCCCAGCTCTAGCTGACTGTAGAGTCCTAAGTCACTAGACTTCCTCTAGGGTCTCATGTCATCCTGCTGGCATGCTCAAGTTCACTGTGCAGGGGCAGATGACCTTGAACTTGTTATCCTTCTGCCTCCACCTCCCACGTGCCACCACACCTAGCCAAGACTTCTCAGGTGAATGATTCATAGTGTCAAGCCTTTGGAAACACTATTGCTTTTCAGTTTGGATGCTTTTGTTGTAATATCTAAGAATCCATTGTCAGATCTAAAATTTTGAATACTTAGCCAACATTTTCTTTTTAAACATTTTCTTTTTTTAGATTTATTTTATGTGTTTGAGTATTTTACCTGCATATATGTGCACCATGTGCATGCCTGCTGCATCAGATTCTCATGGAACCCAACCATGTGAGTGCTAGGAATAGAACTGGTTTTCTGCAGGAACAGCCAGTGATCTGAACCACTGAGCCATCTCTCTAGCCCCTCATCATCTTTTCTTCGATGAAGGTTTTCATGTGGCTCTTATATTTAGGTGTGAGTTTTTGTTTTGTTTTGGTTTTGGTTTTTTGAGACAGGGTTTCTCTGTGTAACTTTGGCTGTCCTGGAACTCACTTTGTAGACCAAGTTGGCCTCTAACTCATTGAGATCTGCCTGCCTCTGCCTCTCAAGTGCTAGGATTAAAGGCATGTCCCACCACCACCCAGCAGATATTTAGTTTTTTTTTTTTTTAATCTGCCTTTTTTATCTATGGCACAGGGAAGGGTTAAAACCTTTTGCCTGTGGCTCTCTGGTTGTCTCAGCATCATTTATTTAAGTCCTCTTTTATCATTGGATGGTCTTGGAACCCTTGGCCTAACGACTTGTAAGACTTTCCTTGAGCCAGTGCTGTGATCTTCCAAAGCCTGGACATGTGTTGAAGGGGCAGAGGAGGGGATAGAGTGTGTGTGTGTGTATGTGTGTGTGTGTGTGTGTGTGTGTGTGTGTGTGTGTGTGTGTGTGTGTTGGGGGGGCAGGAATGCAGTTTGATTCAACAGGACTCTGTAGCCAGTGTTGGTTCAAACTTCGGGAGTCAGTCTAACCTTGAGTCGTTTATTTTAGATCTATTTAAGCACTGCATAATTTGGTAAAAATTATTCTGGTGATAATGAACTCAATCCAGCATGCACAAGAAAGCATACATGAATCTCCTTGAGGAACAAAGTAAGCTAAATACAAGTCAGACATGGCTACATCAAAACTCTTTGTAAAGTCCATAAAGATAGGTTCATAGTCCATAAAGATTGACTGAGAAAAACAAGCTTACAGTAAAGGTCTGGAGGAGGGTCAGGTGCTAGAAGAGTCTCTGGCCACAAAGATAGCGCAAAGGTCACCAGAGTAGAGAAGGCACATCGGCTTCAGGCTTCTGGGTGGATAACAGGTATAACATTCCTTCCCTTGAAGGATTCCAGGTCCCCTTGGTGCTTCTCTGTGAGCACAAGGCCTCTGTGCCTCCCACAGTACTTAGCACTGTACTTCCTTTTGGGGGAATGACTTTGTATTCTCTTTCTGGGAGAGTGATGCTATAGGTCATTTTGGTTTTGTTTCTGCCCTTTCTTGATCTCAGGTTTAGGGTTTTATTGTATTGTCTTTTTTGAACAGCTGTATGACCATCATTAGTTTTCCAAAATTGAAAGTTCCACAATTGATGAATAAATGACATTAGTTTGGATAAATAGTTAAGCTACTCATGTTGCTTTAACTGAAGTCTCATTTTTTTAAAGTAGCTATTTATAGACTGGGTAGTGGTGGTGCATGCCTTTAATCCCAGCATAATTTCTAACTCAGGACTCTCCTGAACCTCAGCTTGTCTTGACTGCTGAATGCTCCTGCTTGTGTGACCATAGCTCTCGATTACTCCTGATTCCTTTCCAGGCTTTCTCATATCATCAAGTGACTGTCCCCTCACCTGTTACCCCACTTCGAGTCCGGTCCAGTCATTGAGTCGGCTCAGTATACGTTACTGAATGTAACTGAAACCTCCTCGTTTCTCCACCCTGACTGCTGTCATTAGAGCCAAGTGACCGCTGCCTGCATCGTGGCGGCGGCGGCGACTTCTGGTCTTACCCGTTTCAGTCTGTACTCTGCAGTGCAGCCAGAGTGATTCTGAAATACATCTGATGTCACATCTGCTTCAAATAGCTGTCTCATTCATTTCAGAGAATGGAATCATCAAGACAGATAAAGTATTTGAAGTGATGCTGGCTACAGACCGCTCCCACTATGCAAAATCAAACCCTTACATGGATTCTCCACAGTCAATAGGTAAGCTTGATATTTCTCAGAAGTTGCATTTTCTTCAGTGACTCTGTAATTTTATGAGTAGGAAAAGAGCGGTATACCGATATGCCTTAGAACCCCAGTAATTGAAATTTTCTCACTCAATTTTATAATCCCAACCTACCCTTTGTAACAAAATGCATCTTCTTATATGTCTTTAAAAATATATTTTGTGAATCAGGAAGTTTGGGGATTTTTTAAGGAAAAACAAAACTTTATAGAAAATTAAGAGTTTTAGCTGAATGCTAAGTTTGAGGATCCTTCTTTTGAATTTGCATATTGGCATTGATTTTTCAAATCAGCATTTAAAGGGAATAAGTAAGTCATTATTGGCTTTTCTGTTTTACTGGCCCTGATGCTTTGGCTTTCCTTTGTCTTTAGAAAGTTCCATATTTAACTCCTTGTCCTGAAGCAGGTTTTGCTGAGCTGCTGAGCCTTGGCAGTGGGCGCCTTTGAGGCTTAGAAGTGCCTCAGGGTTCTGTGGGCCAGCTGCCATGTCTTCTTTTGAAGCACTGTGACAGTCAGCAAGAAGATCCTGGGGAGCTTCTGAACCCCAAGGCACCTGCTACCACCGCTCAGTGAAGACTGCTTCCGAGGCAGAAGCAGGTAAATAAGTCTTGAGATTCTAACACCGGAAGGAAGAAAGACAGGGGCTGAAAACTAGCACCAGACAGTGATTGAGCACTGGACGGCAACAGAGGAGCACACTGAAGTGCTCACTCGTCTCTAGCTGGTCGTCTGACTTTTTAAAGTGTTGTCCGAAGTGTGAGACTAATTTTGTTAAGATTTTGCATGCTTACTCTACTGAAGCAAGTTTTTCTTTTCATAAATCTGAAGAAATAAGTGAAAAATAATCTATCAATTCTCAGTGTATTGAAATCCTTCCTGGTGCAAGCCTGTAATCCCAGCTACTTGGGAGACTAAGGCAGGATGAGGCTGAGCTCAGGGCCTGCCTGGGCTCCTTTGGAGATCCTTTCAAAAAGAGAGGAAGAAAGCAGCAGAAGACCCAAGCTGGCACATGCTTGTAAACTGAGCCCCTGGGAGGTGAAGGCAGGAGGATCAGGTGTCCAGGGCTGGTCGGACTAACCTCGGCTAGGTGAGACCTTGTCTCAAACAATGGTGGTGCTGGGGGTATCTCTCCTTTGTTAGCCAGCCATGCAGAAGGCATCTTTAGAAGTAGAGGAGTTGGTTTACTAGATGGGCACATTACCCTTTGATGTGATTGTATTTTATAACTTCACCTTATGTCAATTTTCTAACAAATTTTGCTTTAAGATCATAAAAACTGAAAAAGATTGTGAAAAACAATGTGTGGCTGTTACAAAAGGAGCTACGTGCATTAAATGGTGTGTTCTCGTAGCTGAGTGTGTAAATATTCTCTTCTTGTTTTGTAGGGTTCCAAGCTACAATTAGCGCTCCTCACATGGTGAGTGAACTTTTTTTACTTGATCATACGCAGGTCATGTTTTACTGGAGTGATAAACTTACTATTTTTTTCTTTTTTGAGACAGTTTCTCATTATGTAGATCAGGCTGGCTTCAAACTCACAGAAGAGTAACTACCTCTGCTTCTATCTCCCAAGTGCTGGGATTAAAGATGTGCACGATTATGCCTGGCCAAACATCTTATTTCATACTGGGTATTTAGAGGAACTCTTCTTGTTAGAAGCTGCCATTATTAAAGGTTTCAGGGTCTGTTGTTAGCACCTGTGACAGAAAAGTTGAACATGGCAAAGTTTAGTAAAGGAGAGAGTATTTCCATAATTCAGAGGCTTGCCCTGTGTGATTCTTCCTGGGATGATGTGAACACCGTGTCTGTTCTCTGCAGTTAGGCACCAGCAGCAGACCAAAAAACAGTTCCAACCAGAGAGCTTATTGGGGTTCCTTAGAGACTCAGAGGGGCTCAGTGACTCAAAGGCCACTGCGTCACTGCAAGAGCCACCCAGCATGGGTCATAATGCTCAGAGGCCACATGTAGGAGCCCTGCATGGTCTTCAGGCAGTTCTGTGGGAATCTTCACCTGGAATTGTTCACAGACCATACAGCTTTGAGCAGAGGCAAGCGGTCCATTATTTTTCTGAGCTCCCAGAGCTTTCAGAGCCTTCCTCTCCCCTCCAGTGGGAGTGTTCCTGACTCAGAGGAAGTAGCTGCAGCAGCATGCTGTGGGAGTCTCCAGCTTTCACAGTTGATTTGGAAAGTCTTTAGGGAAAAGTGATGGACAGCAGGTGTTAAGATACGTGACTTTAGAAAGACCTGTTTAAGATCTGGTGTTTTTGATCTATTGGAAATTTTCTTGAGTTTTTAAATATCATTTTCTTGAATTGGTACTATATTGGATTTTGGTAAAAAAAAAAAATAGTAGCTCTCTGATTCTTTTTAAGTATTTGGGTAGAAAAAGCTCATGTGTAAGCTTACTCCTAAATAAATTCTGTTAATACATATGTATTTATAATGTACTGAAAATACTAGAAGAAAAAAATACTTACAAAAATTGAATATAAAACATAACAAAAATATAGAAGCCAAATAAACAGAAAATCATGATATATCTTTTTACAAAATGTTTTTATTATTTCGTTCTCTTTGGTGTATAGAAGGGCATGTGTGTGGGGGAACAAGGACAAGTTTTATAGATCTTATCTCCTCCACTGTATAGGTCTTGGGGATTGAATTCAGGTTGCCAGGCTTGGGCAGTAAGCACCTTTACCTGCTGAGCCATCTTGCCTGCCCTCAATAAGTCTTATAATTCAAAAACAGAACTTTTAGAGTTGGCTATGGTAGTATATACCCTTGGGTGGTTGGGGCAGGAGGATTGTGAGTTTGATGCCAGCCTTAGCTACATAGTGACAAGGTATCTTAGTGTTTCTATTGCTGTGAACACCATGACCATAGCAACTCTTATAAGGAAAACATTTAATTGGGGTGGCTCCCTTACAGTTTCAGAGGTTCAGTCCATTATCACCATGGTGGGGAGCATGGCAGCTGGAAGTATGACAGCGTGCAGGCAGACAAGGTGCTGAGAATTCTTTTTTTTTTCCCCTGGTTTTTTCGAGGCAGGGTTTCTCTGTGTAGTTTTGGTGCCTGTCCTGGATCTCATTCTGTAGACCTGGCTGCCCTCAAACTCACAGAGCTCCTCCTGGCTCTGCCTCCCGAGTGCTGGGATTAAAGGCGTGTACCACCACTGCCCAGCAGTGCTAAGAATTCTTACATCTTGATAAGTAGGCAATAGGAAGCGGTCTATCTCAGTTGGCATGGCTTGAGCATATATGAGACCTCAAAGCCTGCCTCCACAGTGACATGCTTCCTCCAACAAGACCATACCTTTTAGTAGTGCCACTGCCTTTGAGGGCTGTTTTCTTTCAAACCACCACACAAGGTCATCCTGAGCTCTGTAGTATGACTAACTCAAAAGGGGGGGTGGGTTGTAGAGAAAAATGTTAGAAGCTAACTAAAGGGAGAAAAACTGAGAAATATTTACAATATGTATGACAAAACAGGAAAATTTTCAATAAATGTGCATAACAAATACATTTTTATGTGCATTCTTGAAATTAACTAGTAAAAGACCAGTAAGTCCCACAGAAAAGTAGATAAAGAACAAGACTGATAGTTTATTGAGAAAGAAATGCAGTATTATTGACTAATAAATAAAGAAAAAGTTATCATCGTCATGGAAATTTAGTATATTTCAAATTAATGTTAGTAAAGGGCCATTTTTCATCTGTCAGGTCACTAGAGATCAAAATCTTATTAATATTTCACATTGGAAAGAGGAAGTTGGTAGTCATAGTCGTGTGTGTGTGTGTGTGTGTGTTTGTGTGTGTGTGTGTGTGTGTGTGTGTGTTGTGACAGTAAAATTGCGTTTGGAAGGCTGTATATATATATATTTGTCTTAGTTATTTTTTTAAAAAAATATTTTTATTTTATGTGTATGTGTAAGTGCCTGCGTGTGTGTATGTATGTGTGCCATGTGTATACCTGGTGCCCATTGAGGTCAGAACTGGACTCTGGGGTGGTTGTGAACCACCATGTGGGGTACTTGGAACTGAACCCAGGTCTCCTGTAAGAGCAGTAAGTGTTCACCCTCTGAGTCATCTCTTTAGCTCCTTAGTTACTGTTCTATTGTCAGGCTGTTTATAAAAGAAAGCATTTAATTTGGGTCTCATGGTTCCAGAGGGTTAGAGTCTGTGATTCCTAGTGGGGAGCTTGGCCACAGACATAGGGATGGTACTGGAGCAGTAACTGAGAGCTTACATCTGAGCCACAAGAATGGGGATGAGGAGGAGAGACTTGATGGGTTAACTGGGAATGGCCTGGGCTTCTGACACACCTGCTCCAGCAAGGCCACACCTCCTAATCCTTCCCAGACAGCTCCACCAGCTGGAAGCCATTATCATTCAAACCACCACAGTACTATAAACATAATATGATTTTATCCATTTAATTTTACTCTTAAGAATTTAACATACAGATAATTTTTTTTTCTTTTTCTTTTTTCTTGAGACAGGGTTTCTCTGTGTAACAATCCTGGCTGTCCTTGAACTTGCCTTGTAGACCAGACTGGCCTCGAACTCACAGAGATCTTCCCTGCCTCTGCCTCCTAAATCCTGGGATTAAAGGCATTTGACACTCCTGAGGAGCCAGATAATTCTTTATAAGATTTTTTTTGGCAAAGCCTGTGGATAGTTCGCTGTATAGTCCTGGGCATGACCCGGGAACATACGTGCTACCTGCTGTCCTTGCTTTCACTATAGTAGCCATATTGCTGGCTACCTTTAGTTTCACTTTCTCAGTCATGGATAAAATAGCTATTACAAAGGGAAAACTTCCCTCTGAAGACTCCTCTGAGTGAGCCAGAGGAAGTGTTATTAAAAGTATATAGTGGGCCGGGCGGTGGTGGCGCACGCCTTTAATCCCAGCACTCGGGAGGCAGAGCCAGGCGGATCTCTGTGAGTTCGAGGCCAGCCTGGTCTCCAAAGCGAGTTCCAGGAAAGGCGCAAAGCTACACAGAGAAACCCTGTCTCGAAAAACCAAAAAAAAAAAAAAAGTATATAGTGGACCTGATTCAGTCCCTAAACCTTTGATGTTTCAAGTGTGACTATGAATTCAGGCTTCTTAAGAACAGACTGTTGCCCCTCCAGCGTACCCTGTGACTAGCCTGAAAGAGTCACAGTAGTTCATGAAATTTAGTGTTACATATTTGCATAACTGTTCTGGAGAGAATGATTTTAGCCACAAGAGTCTAGGAGAAATGCAAATCAATAGATGATATCAGGAGTTAATGGGAACAGTCTAGAGACGGGATGAAGCAGAATCAGAGAAGCCCACAGTTCTCTCATAGCTGTGCCAGTACCCTAAGAAGTTGAGAGGAGGGGTTGGGGATTTAGCTCAGTGGTAGAGCGCTTGCCTAGCAAGCGCAAGGCCCTGGGTTCGGTCCTCAGTTCCGGTTAAAAAAAAGAAGTTGAGAGGCGAACATAAGAACAAGGGATAAACAGTGCCAACCATTAAGAGTAAGTTTCTAAGATAAGTTGCTGATCTTAGATATTTGGAAAAACCTGGTATATCCCCAGAGGAGATGGACTGGTACAGAGTGTAGAACGAATTGATCCAGCTTCGGCTGGTGAGTTAGTTGATTGTGGGAGCCCCGACCTTACCAGATGTAAATATTAACCACTGGAGATGAAACTGTCTCTCACCCCACATAACGCTGTACCACAAATGCTGCCAACTGGGCACACTGTTCTACCTGTAGGTGTACCTAGCTAGAAAACTTCCTTTGTTGCTTGCAATGCTGCTTATGCTTCTAACATTAGAGCTATGGATCAGATGGGTAATGGTTACCAGTAGAAAAGTCAGGATGGAAGGGGGAAGAAGCAAAGAAACAAACTGGTAATCATTGTAACCATTTTTAGAAACGTAAAGGAACAAATCTGATTGTAAAACTTCATGCAAACCATTGAAATTGTATAAATAAAAATGGCCCAGGCTATCCGGGGCCACTTGTTTGAAACATGTGGTCACAGTTTCTTCATTGCGTCAACTTCACACATCCGTCCCACGTCATTGGACCCTTCTGGAAGTAGGCTTCCAGCAACAGGGTCTTCCTATGTAGCCCTGGCTGGCCTGGCCTGGAACTTCCTATGTAGACCAGGTTGGCTTCTGCCTCCTGAGTGCTAGGAATAAGGCATGCAGCACCACACCCAGCACTTTATACAACTCTTAGGAAGAGTGTTATTATCTGACATCTATGTTTGATAACATTATTACATTTTTTGTTACAGAAGATTGCAGCTAATTTAAATCTCTTCAATATTGATATTTGTTATAATGCATTCATATCTGAATGTAGTCTAAGGTATAAAAAAGAACACCTGTTTACTATACCTCTTTATTGAATTTTCCTTTAAAATGAAATAAGCGAAACAATATTTGCTTGTTCATACACAGTGAATATTTTTCCAGAAAAATTACAAGAAACTGGCAACATTGATTGCCTTCAGGGAATGAAACTGGACGCTTGGGAAGGGGTTGAGGGCTTTTCACTGAAAATCTCCTTTTTCAGTTTTTTGACTTTGACTTTAATTTATATAGTAGTTATCTAAAATTACAGGAAAACTATAAATGTAGGAGGTCTAATGCACTAGAACTACCTTAGGTCATCACTGTGGTGTTAGACTATTCCGTTGTCTGCGTAGGTGATGGTAGCAGTAACTTGGGTAGAAAGTCGCCAGCTCTTCATATGAAGTGATGTATGGACTTCAAGAAGAAATGAGTGTTTGGTTCATTTTCTTTTGGCAGCATGCATACGCACTAGAACTTCTCTTTGACCAGCTGCATGAAGGTGCTAAAGCCCTTGATGTCGGGTCTGGAAGCGGAATCCTCACCGCGTGTTTTGCACGGATGGTAAGAACATTCATCTCCCGTGTGAGCCTAAGAGACATGTAGTATGTGATTTAGCTATGGTTTCTTCTTACTGGTAGTTTTAAGTTTGTTTGTTTTTGTTCTGTTAATATGATAATTTTAGCCAGGTGGTGGTGGCACACAGCTTTAGTCCTAGCACCCAGGAAGCAGAGACAGGCAGATCTCTGAATTCAGGCCAGCCTGGACTACAGAGTGAGTTCCAGGACTACACAGAGAAACCTGTCTCAAAAAAACAAACAAAAAGATGATAATTTTAATATGTATCATTTAGGATTATAGTTGCAAGTGACAGAACATTTAAACCCAAAACGGTAGAACGCAAAGAGAATTTATTTAGCTTGTCTAATGGAAAAGCCTACAGGCTTCCCTGGCTTGTTATGCAGCTGGATTTAGAAAGCCAAGCTTTATTTTATTTATTTTGACTTTTTGAGGGACAGGTCTTTGTATAGTTCTGGCTGTCCTGGAACTCACTAAGTAGACCAGGCTTGTCCAGTGCTTCTGCCTCCCTAGTGCTGGGATTAAAGGCCACCATGCCCGGCTAGGGTAGGTTTTATTACTGATTTGCTGTGGGATGGTCTTTCTGTATGCTGTGAATATGTGTTGCTCCATTGGTTGATAAATAATAAGCTACTTTGGCCCATGGCAAGGCAGCTTAGAGGCAGGTGGGAAATCCAAGCAGATACAGGGAGGAGAAAGGCAGGATCGGAGGAGATGCCCAGGGAAGCAAGACATAATGCAACACAGGTAAAGCCACAAAACATGTGGCAATACATTGATTAATAGAAATGGGTTAATTTAAGATGTAAGAGCTAGGCCGGGCGGTGGTGGTGCACGCCTTTAATCCCAGCACTCGGGAAGCAGAGCCAGGTGGATCTCTGTGAGTTCGAGGCCAGCCTGGTCTACAGAGCGAGATCCAGGAAAGGCACAAAGCTACACAGAGAAACCCTGTCTCGAAAAACCAAAACAAAAAAACAAACAAATAAACAAAAAAAGATGTAAGAGCTAGCTAGTAAGAAGCCTGAGCCATAGACCAAACAATTAGTAATTAATATATAAGCCTCTGATCCCGGGCGGGACCGAGAAACTTCCCCTACACTGATTGGTTTCTCTCTGGGTGTTGATTGTCTTGACTTCTTTCTGCACGTCAGCTTCATGATTACACAGGCTCTCTGTGATCCCAACATGGCAGCCCGTGACTCAAACTGCATTCTGCTGGAAATAGTATTTCATTAGAAAGCTGTTCTCTAGGTTTGCTGGTTACTGGTTTTAAAGGAATATTCACTTTAAAAATATCATCGGGTCTTGACAAGATGGCTCACTGGGTAAAGGCACTTGCTGCCAGTCCTGTGGTAGGAGAGAACAGCCTCCCACAAGTTTTCCTGGGACCTCTCCACATGTGCCATGGCACATGCCCCTACACACAAAATAAGCAAGGAAATGAAAAAAAATAGGTTTCTGAGTTATCTTTGAAAAATGATTTACCTGTGCGTATTCAGTGTTCTGTGTGCTTATCATGTGTTCTTTCCTTTCTCATATCCTCTGTGTGGTATAGGCCCCCATTTCTTCTTATTTTGTAGTTGAGAAACCTGACTTAGAGAATGAAGGGTTTGCATGCCTAATGTCAGGCAACTGTGAGTGCCGAAGTTCAGGAGGACCCAGGAGTTTGTTCAGGCCTGTATTCTGTTAACGCTTTTGTACTCAGTATTGATACCAACTATGAGTGGCGAAGTTCAGGTAGAACCCAGGAGTTTGTTCAGGCCTGTATTCTGTTAACGTTTTTGTACTCAGTATTGATACCAACTGTGAGTGGGGAAGTTCAGGTAGGACCTAGGAGTTTGTTCAGGCCTGTATTCTGTTAACGTTTTTGTACTCAGTATTGATACTTCAGCCCTTTTTATGTATTTATGCATTTCCTTTTTTTGAGACAGGGTCTCACTGTGTAGCCCTGGCTGCCCTGGAAATTGCTATATAGACCAGGCTGGCTTCTAATTCAGAGACTGACTTGCCTCTGCCTCCTGAGTGCTGGGATAAAAGGCATATACCACCACACTTGGCTTCTGTATTTATGTATTTTTCATATTTTTCACTAATAGCGGTAGAGTTGGATATAAAAAATTCCACCTCACCTTTTTTTTTTTTTTTTTAATAAGACCTCATAATACAACCCAGGATTGCTTCAAATTCACTGTGTAGTCAGACTGGTCATTTCCTGTCTCAGCCCCCCAAATTATGGGATGATAGGTGACTATCATAGTGCCTGGCTTCTAAAATTTTTTTATATAATATCTGATTTTTTAAAATTTAATTTATTTTATCTTTTGAAGACAAAGTCTAGCTGTGTCGCCTTCTCTGGCCTCAGACACATAGAGATCTGTAAAACTTAAATCTTAAACTCATGTACCACCATGCCTGGATCAATATTTGAGTAGTTTTTAAATTATCCTTTTACTAGAGTTCATACAAAGTAATTATTGTTAGTTAAATCCTACCTCAAAGTTCTGGGAAAAAAATATTGGTTTTGTTTGTTTGTTTGTTTGTTTTTTCAAGACAGGGTTTCACTGTGGAGTCCTGATTGGCTTGGAACTCACTATGTAGACCAGGCTGGCCTCGAATTCACAGAAATCCGCTTGCCTTTGCTTTCCAATTGCTGGGATTAAAGATGTGTGCCACCACCACCTGGCAAAAATCTATAGGTTTTTTTAGACAGATCTCATCATATAATTGTGGCTGGAACTCACTGTGTAGAATAGGCTGGCCTTGAACTCACTGATCCACCTGCCACTGCTGCTCAAGTGTAAGGACTAAAGGCATTTGCCATCTACCACACCTGAGTAAGTTCTGGATTTAAAAATTAGAAATCTAGGCTGGGTTAATCTCAGCACATCTCTGAGTTTGAGGCCAGCCTGCTACAGAGTGAGTTCCAGGACAGCCAGGGATGCACAGAAATTAGAAGTCTAAAAAGGATACAATTTTCTTAGTATTGTAAAGTTTTGTAACTTATTGTAACTTTATAATTGCTTAAATAAAATTATTCAAAAAGTTGAAAAAGCTGAATATAGTAATTATGAAAAACTGAGAGTTTAGATTAATGACTTAAACTGTTTATTTTATTTCTCATTGCAGAATATGGTTTTAATTAAGGAAACATTTTAAAGGCACTCCAGAAAAGCAAATTTAGCCCTGCAAGCTCTTGAACTACTTTTTGTTTTCCAGGTTGGACAAAATGGAAAAGTCATAGGAATTGATCACATTAAAGAACTAGTAGATGACTCAATAAATAATGTGAAAAAGGACGACCCAATGCTTCTGACCTCGGGGCGAGTCCGGCTGGTTGGTGAGTAGGAGAAAACTGAGTGTTTCTTTTTAAGTGGGTTTTCATTTGTAGAAGTATGCAAGCTGAGCAATTCGTACAGCTAGAGTTGTACCCTTCACCTTCATTGAAATACAGAGTATAAAAAACAGCTGATTTTTGTCCATTTTAACGAACACACAGCATTGCATTGCTTATGATCGCAACTCCTGCTCATTGTTGGGGTGAATTTGTTTTCATATTTGCCCATTTGGATTTCCCTCTTGTGAGGTAACTGTTCAGACATCCCGTTGTGTGTATTTATCTTTGATGTAGGTGTTCTAGAGGTTAGTCTTTTGTTACTTTCAGACATTTTCCCCCCTTGGTGGTATGCATTTTCATTTTATTGTTACCTTACTCTTTTTTGTGCTGCTCTTGATCAAACCTTCCCACATGTTAGGTAGGTGCTGTACCACTGAGCTATATCCCAGCCCTTGTGCTAAATAGAAATTCTTAATTTTAGTGTAGTTAGGCTAACCATTCTTCCCCCAGTGCCTTCTATGTCTTAAGGATTTATGAAGTCATGCAAATCTCTTCTCCCACTCCATTTCCAGCTTCCTGTGAGAATTCTTCACAAAGTTTGGTTGGACAGGTTTTCAAAGTGTAACTTCTTTTTCAGTGGGTGATGGAAGAATGGGATATGCTGAAGAAGCCCCATACGACGCTATTCATGTAGGAGCTGCAGCCCCAGTTGTGCCTCAGGCAGTGAGTTGGGATTTTATTTTTTTGTATTTGTGTGTTTTAGTCCTAAAACTTAAAATATTTATGTATCAATGTAGCGATGAGTTTCAGATGAAGTTCAGAATATACTTAGATTTTCATACATTCTTGTTAATACTAAATGTTGATAGTCCATTAGATAGGAAAGAAAATGTCTATGTGAGAGAATTTTGCAAGTAGTCAAGGAGGCATATGATGATGGAACTTGAACTGGGTGTGAGAGTCATTGGAGCCTCCAGCTCAGAACTCAGGCTGTCTTCATACAGTCTTAGTTCAGTGTGGATTTGTACAAGTTATGATTGTTTGGCTTGGGGACAGGAGGAGTCTACATATTAAGAGCTCAGTCCTTATTTAGATTTGAAGTATAAAAGTGATGCTAAGAAGATGTAGAAGACGCTTTGGGAGCAAGCCTAGGGGTGGAGGAAGATGTCTCCTATTTTTCATTAGAACTGTTAGAACTCAGGAAAATAAGTCAAGGGCAACTCAATGATCAAGTGTTCCTTAAAAAAAAATAAAATGGAAAAAAATAAGATCTGGTGACCAAATTTTAACTGAAGGCAACCTTTTCTAGGGCAGTACTATCCTATCTAAAGTCAGGTTTCTTTCTTGCTGGTTTTGAATAACATAAAGTCACGTTTCTTTCTTGCTGGTTTTGAATAACATAAAGTCAGGTTTCTTTCTTGCTGGTTTTGAATAACATAAGGTTATATTATTCAAAGGGTAGCATATGATTTAACCATTTTCAGACCGGAAGGGTAGTCTGGTTCTGTGTTCATTGGATTGTCCTCATCATAATACCAAAGGAGCCCAGCCCTACCTTCCCACTCTCCTGGTGCCAGGAGTCCTAAATGCAGTCATGGCATTTGGATTCCCTTACCATTGTCTCAGTGATGCCCTAGATTCCACGGTAATAGGATAGCAGTTCCTTGTTAATTTTCTGTACTTTTCCCTTCTCTGTCTGCCCTTCTACAAAGATCTGGAACACACTACACTGCCATTTAGGAGTCTCTGTTGAAGTTAGTTCTGCCCAAACATATTGAGCTCTTAGTTGTACCAGGTGTCTCGGTCAGATGCTATGAGGACAGAGATAAGTACAGCATAGTCTGTCATCAGATAACTTGTAGCTTAGTAGAGGAGGCTGAGAGATAAATGGGTAAGTGGGAGTTGGTTACTACGTTCAACCAAGAGGGACTGGAAAATATTTCTTTTTGGATGGGGGGAGGTCCATAAAATTGAAAGAGCAGCATTTAAGTTTGCTGAACTGAGTACTATGCTGAGTCCATGCAGTGGAGGGATGCACAGGGCCTCCGTTAGTAATACTAGTAACCTAGAGATGACTCAAATGTGGGTGGGTGTGCAGAGTGTTTTATATGCAAGTACTGTGCCACTTTTGTAAGGGACTTGAGCCACTGTGGGTTTTGTTATGCCGGAGGGATCCTGGAAGCAAGCCCTAAGGACACTAAGAAGTGACCACACTCCTCAGTGTGTTTCTGCTTCTGCCCGTGGACATGGAGCATTGTTTAGAATACTGTTGAGTGACTGTGGCTGCTTCACTTCTGTAATTTGGTGTGTATGTGGGGGTTTCTTTTTTCTTCTAGCTAATAGACCAGTTAAAGCCTGGTGGAAGATTGATATTGCCAGTCGGTCCTGCAGGAGGAAACCAAATGTTGGAGCAGTATGATAAACTCCACGACGGCAGTGTCAAAATGAAGCCTCTGATGGGGGTGATATATGTGCCTTTAACAGATAAAGAAAAGCAGTGGTCCAGGTGGAAGTGATTTTCTCTTCTGCTCTTTCTTCTTCCACACATTCAAGGTGAAAGGGTGTGGACTTTAAGACATTAGACTGCAGGGGCTGACTTTGGTGGCTTCCTTCATGCTACTCCATTAAAGCATCAGAAACTCATCACATGAAATGTGTGACAAGTGTTGCATGGTCTGTTTTTCTTTTGGTTTGACTCGTACCTTTAGAAAAGGGAGGGTGAAAAGCTGAGTCATGGTGGCGCATGCCTTTAATCCTAGCACTCAGGAGGCAGAGGCAGGCGATCTCTGTGAGTTTGAGGCTAACCTGGTCTTCAGAGTGGTTCCAGGACAGCCAAGGCTACCAGAGAAACCCTGTCTCAAAAAACAACAACAAAAAACAACAAAAGGCGGAAGGCGGGGAGACACTATTTTCCTGCATATTTATAAGTCATGCTTATAGTTGCTATAATAGGTATAGAAATAAATGCTTTGATCTGGAAACGAGGCCATCATTTTTGCCTTGTTCACTCTTAATACTACTCTGACAAGGAGAAAGAAAAATTTGGAAAGGGGGAAGATGTCTGTCCCTGTTTTTAGAAAATGTCATAGTCCAGGAGAGGGCGGTCTGGCTTTTGGGTTGATTTCTTTGGGTCAGATCCTAGATGTGTGCCATGGTTTTAGAGCTGCTGTAAGAAGTAAATGTGTCAGCATGCTATAGATCAGGCCAGACCATTTGAGTTCTTCTGGCTAAGTCTGGGGAGGAGAGGGATTCCAGAGGCTGTCCAGTGAGCTCCCACGTCTACAGCCTGCCTGGAGGACCTGCCGCACAGCACTGTTCTCACACTGCATTGCATGGCCCCTTAGAAAGAAAGCAACTGCCTGCTTCTGCTCAGCATCGCAGTATCACCTGAATGTTTCCTTTGAAGCTAACATTTCTTCTCCTCCCCATGGAGAGAAGGGAGGACAGCATGTCGGAGCACTGTGGCTAGATGCTTGAAGCTGGTGCCCAAATAAAGATGGTCTGACAGTGTCTTTGCCTTAGACTCCTTTCTAGTTGACAACCTTCTTATTTCAAGAGGGTTTTGTTTTGTTTTTTTAAATAAGTGGCAATTGTAAGTACAACAGAACTCTTTAATTTTGCTTTCTGTAAAGAGGACAGGCACCTTTTAATGATTTTTAAAAATTTCTGTGTGTGTGTGTGTGTGTGTGTGTGTGTGTCACAGCATGGGTGTGGAGCTCCAAGAACAACTTGGAGAAGTCAGTTCTCTCCTTCTATGTGGGACCCAGGCATTGAGCTCAGATTCTTTTTTTTTTTTTTTTTTAAGATTTATTGATTTATTATATATACAGTGTTCTGCCTGCATGTATGTCTGCACACTAGAAGAGGGCACCAGATCTCATTATAGATGGTTGTGAGCCACCATGTGGTTGCTGGGAATTGAACTCAGGACCTCTGAAAGAGCAGCCAGTGTTCTTAACCTCTGAACTATCTCTCCAGCCCTGAGTCCAGATTCTTAGGCCGTGTATGCACTAAGTGAGCCATCTCACTGACCCTTGAGTGAGTATTTAATTGCAAAAGTTATAATCTAATTCAATTTACTTAAAACAGTATTGGGTTTGTGGCTATCCATGAATATGTTAGACTAATTGGGCCACACCCTTAAAAACAAAAACAAAACAAACAAACTTTCAACCTCCCACACCTATTTAACAGTATCCCGCTTTTCTTCTCCACACTGGGATTTGTCTGGCTTGAGGTGGTGCACTGCTTTGTGCATGCTGTCATTAGTCTCTGTGAGTTCCTATGTGTAACTCAGCTGCCCTGTTGTATCAGCAGAACAGTTTCTTTGTAGCCATCCACTGCCTTACAGTCTTTCCAGACCATTTCTGCAATGATCCCTGAGTTTTGGGGTGGGGGTGTCATATCCCATTTAGGCCTGAGTATTCCACAGTCACTCATTCTCTGCATGTTGATTAGTTGCGGGTCTCTGTGTTAATTGTCATCTACTGCAAAAGGAGCTTCTTTGATGGATGAGGTTTGAAAGCTACACTAACCTATGGGTGTAATGAGATGTCATTAGGCATCTATTTAATACTGTGTTATATTAGCAGAGTAACAGTAGTAGATTCTCCCCTAGGCCCTATGATGTGTCTGACCACAGGTTCCTGGCCTGATGAAGGTACCAGGTCTGGGTTCCCTCTTGTGCAGGGGTCTTCAGTTGAATCAGAAAAGGCTTGGTCACTCCCGTGACGTTCCTGCCACTGTTGGAATGTGGGCATGCCAGGCGGTCATTATTGTCAAGACAGACAATTCCTTCTCTCCTTCAAGTTCTGTAGACAACGTTTTGCAGTGCTGTGAAAGCCAGCCAGTAGGGATGGATCTTCCAATTAATACCAGCTTGAGTTCCCATGGTCTGCAGCTCAAGTGTGCAATGCCTTCAGGAACAGGGTCTTCCTGACAGCTTCTGGAAAGTAACCAAGAGCAATGGCCCCAGCCCTCAGCAAGGAACCCTTCCCCCACTTCTTCATAAAAAGAGTCCCTTCCTTCCAATTATACAAGCTTTAGAATCCCTGTCCCCGAAACAAAACCAAAAACCCTGCATCTTCCTGGTTCAGATTATTGTGTATTTACAACATTAGAAAGTCTATTAAACTGTTTAAACATATGTGGATTTGAGTTATTTCCTGGTAGTACATCTAATTTGTTCTTTTTTTTTTTTTAATTTTTATTGCTTTTGTGTTTGAGTGTTTTGCTTACATGTATGTATGTACAACACATGTGTGTCTGGTGCCAAGAGGCTAGAAGAGGTCATCAGATCCTCTGGAACTGGAGTTACAAATGCTTGTGAGTGGCCATGTGTGGGCGCTGAGAACTGAACCTGGGTCCTCTGCAAGAATAGCAAATGCGGGCTGGAGAGATGGCTCAGTGGTTCAAAGCACTGCCTGCTCTTCCAGAGGTCCTGAGTTCAGTTCCCAGCAACCACATGGTGGCTCACAACCACTTGCAATTAGATCTGGTGCCCTCTTCTGGCCTGCAAGGACACATGCAGGCAGAACATTGTATACATAATAAATAAATAAACCTTAAAAAAAAAAAAGAATAGCAGATGCTCTTAATCACTGAGCCATCTCTCTGCTTCTCATTCATTCTTAAATTACAATATCTATGATTCAGTATTACTAACATGGAACTTTAAAACTTTTTGTTTGTTTGTTTTTTGAGACAGGGTTTCTCTGTGTAGTTTTGGAGCCTATCCTGGAACTCACTCTGTAGACTAGGCTGGCCTCAAACTCACAGAGATCCACCTGGCTCTGCCTCCGGAGTGCTGGGATTAAAGGCGTGCGCCACCACCGCCCGGCCTGGCCAAAACTCTTAAAGGAGCCGAATCCCTTTTTTGTTGTTTAGCTTTCTCAGGCTCTACATGGAAGCATGGCCCACATTGGAATGCCAAAATGTTGTTGGGATTTTCTTCTACTCTTTTGGGGGGCTCGCCACCTAGCTCCCAAATAAATTCACACACGGAGTCTTATTCTTAATTATGAATGCCAGGCCTTAGCTTGGCTTAGTTTCTAGTTAGCTTTTCATAAATTACCCTGTCTACCTTTGGCCTCTGGGTTTTTCCCATTCTCTTACTTCTGTAAATCTTACTCTTACTCTGTGACTTGCTGTGTAGCTGGGTGGCTAGTCCCTGGAGTCTTTCTCCTTCTCTGGCTCCTAGATCTTCACTCCTACATCTCTTCCCTTTTTCCTCCCAGATTTCTCCTATATATCCTCTCTGCCCACCTTTCTCTCTCTCTCCTGCGTCACTATTGGCCGGTCAGTTCTTTATTAGACCAGTCAGGTGGTTTACACAGGCACAGTAACACAGCTTCACAGAGTTCAACAACTGCAGCATAAACAAAAGTAACACACCTTCCAGTAATGTTCTACAACACTTCTGCCCATCACCAGTTACTGTCTCCCTGTTTGCTGCTCACACTTTCTACACATAAGTATGTCATACTTTCCTCTGAATCACTTGTGAATTAATTGCAAAATCATACTGAGTGTTTAGTGATGTTTTTGTCACTTAAGTTACCTTCAGATGAGACTTTCGGGCTATCTGATGCTTTTCTTTATTTTTTCACACTTAATGATTTCATTGGGGTAGACTGAAATGGGCCGTTTCCTTTAGACTGCATTTTTATTCCTCCCTCCTCTCACTGGCAGTTGCCGGTCCAGTGCTGCATGTGACTGAGCGAATGATTTCTTTGGAGCTGATAAGGCTGCCTTAATGAAATCAGCTAACAAGTAGAGGATTCCTACAGACAGCTTTTTTCCAGAGGGTTCGGGCTGCAGTTGACCTGGTCTGCCAGGGCTAACAGACTCTTCACCCAGTTTTGTGAATAGAACTATTAAAAAAAGAATTTGAACTCTAAATGTGTAAACTGTCATCTTAGAAGAAATAAGTAGATCAGCAAGATGATCCTTGGCAGAAGTCATAATTTTTCTGAATTTTTTGCCTCCAAGGAAGAAGTTTTACCTTTAGGTTTAAAATCACTTTGGGCTTTGTGGTTTCCTGCTGTGCTGTGGAGTAGCATGGAAGATGCTTGGGGTGGCTGATGTCCAGTTTTGCTTTGGCTTAGAGTTATATGTGCTTTCGTTTCTCTTATTGTATTGCTTGGAATCTGCATATTTTACTGACTTCAGCGTTGTGTCTAAATGGTTTGAGTGCCAGTTCACAGCATGTAACTCCTAACTGCATTTTTCTCTTTTCTCCCCAGGGATGAACTGTAAAAGCAACATGAGCTTGACCAGTCTATAACATTGCAGTGGATTGCTCATCTCGGTCCTTAAAGCATTTGAAAACCAACAGCATCACAGCTTGTTTTGGACTTCGTTACACTCTTATTTTCAGCATGAAAATGTGTGGTTTTGTAGGACTTCCTAATTCAGAGAGGCGCAGAGCCAAGGTTGCAGAGAGGGCAGCAAAGTATAACTTTGTGTGTTGTTTTAACACGCCCACATTTTACTTCAAAAATATTAAAAGAAAGTTCTCCACATGGAGAGCTAAGTTTGTGAATTAGTTTTGAGGAGTGGCTTTGCTTTTCTTGAACACTTAATTCTGTTCCAATATTAATTTATCAGATTTCTTTTGTGCATCAGATAACACCACCATTCACAAGTTTAGGTTTCTTGGTAGCCAATGTCTGTTAGATGCTACTAAGAAAATAGAGATGAGCTTTCTTTTTAAAGCTTTTGATGTGGTGTCATAGGATAGCATGTTGTAGATACAATCAGCTGCTGTTACCTTAAAACTAGGTGTTTGTAAATACTGAAACTTAAGACGGCGACAGCGAAGACGGCAGGTGGAGTCCCGTAAACTTTACTCAGCTGTTCAGATTGGACATCTCCGATGTAATTTTCCTCCCTCTCAAAGTGATAGGAGGTTGTAGCTCAGTATCGTTTTCTGTTTCTAGTCTGCCGCTGATTCTGTATCTGCGCCTAACCCTGTGTGAACTGTGCTAGCCTCTGCACAGTTTCCGCAGCGCTGCTTTGCCAAATAAACTTAAAAGCAAAAGAAGCGTTGGTGGCGTTTGAATCTACAAGAACAGAGGTCTGCCAGGTCCAGATGCTGCCCACAGCCATGAGGGAAACTGGCTCTTCTGCTGCTGCGTTTTTGTTGTGAATCCTAGGAGGTAAATATGCAGAGCATTAGTCCCCAGTACATGGCTGCATTTCTTCAGGACAGAGACTGTGCATTCATTGTTTCTCACTGCCTTCCCAGCCCAGGGCTTGCTGTATAGTAGCTCTGTATTAAATGCCCAGTGAGTGAGTGGCTGAATTTAGTATTGGGGAAGAATGTGATTGAGAATAAACATACCAAAACCTATGTTTCGTCTGTAAATAGACTCATTAATAACTGTAAAGTGTGTGTCTGTGAAGGCAAAGGCACTTTGAGGATCTTATTTAAATATGGTTTTATATTTTCTAAGAAGACTTTAGTTTTTATGAAGATTCTAGAACTTGACGGAAGATTACAGCTTCTGATGGGTGGGACTAGCATCCCCAGCAGAACCTTCCTCCCAGGTGAAAGGCACATGATTCTTAGTGTGTGAGAAATCCTTCCCTACTCTTCAAGTCTTATATCACTAATTTAGAAGTTGTGCAGACATCATCTCACAAGTGTCTTCTTGGCTAAGGTCTCAGTCACAGGAAACTAGCAGTCTGTGGTCCTGCAGACTGGAAAATCTTAACCAGCTTCGGATTGCTGCTGGTTGTTGCTTTGGAATCAGTGAACTCTGGTGTCCAGGATGCATGGTCATTTGAAGTATGTGTAAGATCAAATGTTCTTTCAGACTTGAAAGCAAATGAATTCTTAAACGTACCCACTAGTCTGGATCCTTGATAGGGTGACTACACCTTATTACATGTAGATCTCTACACTAGGTTTTGGAATAGAAAAAGGCATTTCCACCCCAGTAGTTTTCAGATTAGTTGAGGAGATAGTTAATAAATAAGCATCATAAATTACTACCCAATTTGTATAGAAAATGCTCTGCCCAAATGTTGTTCTTGTGCTTTACACTTTTAGGAGATGAAATTTTAGGATACCAGATAAACAGCCAATTTTAATAGAGCATCATTAAGTGGGTAGAGATGAAAATAATAATTTTAATGAAGTCTGAGCCTTTAAAAATAATTGAATTTATGTATTTGTATAGGAGAGATAAGAAATGTCTGATATTTAGTATATATAATTTCTGAAGCATTTTATTTTTCCTTAATAGAAATTATGCCTGTATGTAACATAAAGGGCAGTGAAGACATTTCAGGAAGTTCTAGGCTAGTATGATCTTGTGAAATAAATTTTCCTATAGATTTGATCTTACGAAAAGCCAAACCTGGCTATCAAACTTTGGTGGCAATAAGCTTATGTCAGGGTTCAGTTTCTATTAAGGGTTGCTGCTCTTTCTCAGCCAGGAACCGTACAAAACTACATCTGGGGAAAATCGTTCATCACCACTTTCCATGTGAATACTTACACCTCATTCCCCTACTAACTGCCATTGTTTTTTGCTTTTTGGTGGGGGGTGGGGAGGCTTGCTGCCAAGCCTGAGGACCTGAGTTTCAACCCCAAGACCCACATGGTAGAAGGAGAAAACTGACCCCTGCAGATTGTTCTCTGACCTTCACACACGTTGTGGCGGAGGTGGGAGGATCACAAGTCTTCCTCAGCTGCACAGCAAGTTGGAGGCCAGCATGGACTCCATGAGGCCTGCCTTTGAAAAAGAGAACAGAAAGTTCCCACAGTGCGTCTCTTTACTAATACACCTTAAAATTCAGTGGGAGTCTAAAAGAGTAAGTTTTTAGTAATAACTTTGTAAACTCTTCAAGGGATTCTTTGTGTGTGTTTACCACCCAGGAAGTGTAATTCCTTGGAGTTTGTAAGGCCTTTTTTTCTGTAGAAGAGGCAGGCTTTCCTAGTTTCTAGTTTAGTGTGCCACTAAAGGAGCTCATGCCAGTGTGGTAACCTAGCCCTAATAAACAGATAGCAAGCCTGGGTCATTATATAAATTGTTCTGGAATTCAACCAGCTAATAACTTATTTTAGGTAAGTGCTAAAATTCTTGCAGCATCTAAGTCATTTCTTACAGCTTACTGTGTTCCTGATGACCTAATAGCTTACTGTGTTCCTGATGACCTAATAGCTTACTGTGTTCCTGATGACCTAATAGCTTACTGTGTTCCTGATGACCTACTAGCGTACTGTGTTCTCTAGTGAAGAGCTCTGACTGGAGTTTGGTTGCATCTCTGGATCTCTCCTGCTCTTTTTCAGAAAGATGGCAGTATTTTGTCCTTCGTGTACTAAAGGCTGTCAGTAAAAGGATCCAAGGAAGCCTGTGACTGTGCATTGTCATATAATAAAATGGAAATGAAGCCTAATAGTCTGTTCATCTTGAATTATTTTAATCTCCTTTTTACAGGAGTTGGTGGCTCCCCATCCCCACCAGCCCCGGGTCTTCATCTTTCTAACTGGTATTGTGCTTGCATCAGTATTCTGGGAAACTCCCTTCTTGCTTGTGGGGAAGAAAACAGAATGATTGATAGATTGATAGTACTCACAGGGTGGTGCTGAACGGGGTTGCTGAACCCTGGGAGCCTCTGGTATCTGTCTCGCTTTCCACTGTTCCAGTACCAACAGGATGCGCATGACACACGTGACAATTGTCAAAAGGCTGGGTGACGGCAGTACGAAGGACAGTTGTGAGCTATGTCTTCCAAAACAAGCTTCCAGAAGCTGGGCTTTCTTTCTCTTTCCTCCATTTTTTTCCCCTTTTCCCCCTGTCACTATTGCTTTAGGCATTTTCCCCATTCTCATTATTTTACAAGGATTTTTACCTAAAAGCTGTGTAGGGATGGAGAGAGCTCGGTTGGTAAGTGCAGCGTGAAGCCACAGCTTTGCTCCACAGCACACCGCGTTACCATCTTGGCTCTCGTGAACAGTTAGGGGCCGGGCAAGAGAGTTGAGGAAAGCAGCCAGGAAATTACGGGTGGTTTTATGGAAAGTCTGACTATGCAGCCTGGCAAAATAAAAGCTGGAGACATCATGGCCTCAGATTGGGCCATTCATCGTGCTGATTTATTCTCTGCACAGACCTCTGTGTGACAGCACATTTAGAGAGAGCAGTCTAGTTTTATCAGTAGAACTATTTAAGAACACCACCCTTTACTTAGAATTTGAGGCTTTTCAGTCATATAAAATGATGACAGTGTAAATGAACACTTTAAGAAGCTTTTTATTTTTTTATTTTTTTTTTTTTTTTTATTTTGGAGACAGGGTTTCTCTATAAAAAGCTCTGGCTGTCCTGGAACTCTTTGTAGACCAGGCTGGCCCAGAACTCAGAGATACCCCCTGCCTCTGCCTAGCTGCTGGGATTACAGGCATGTGCCACCACCACCCAGCTCTTTAAGAAACTTTTATACCCAAGTTTTTCCTAAGCTGTTTCATGTATTTGTGTGGTGATATTGTGTTCCCCAATATATTGCACCCTAATAAACATCTGGGATCAGAGAACAGAACAGCCACTAGATAGACATAGAGGCCAGAAAATGGTGGCACACCTTTTTTTTTTTTTTTTTTTTTTTTGGTTTTTCGAGACAGGGTTTCTCTGTGTAGCTTTGCGCCTTTCCTGGAACTCGCTTTGGAGACCAGGCTGGCCTTGAACTCACAGAGATCCGCCTGCCTCTGCCTCCCGAGTGCTGGGATTAAAGGCGTGCGCCACCACCGCCCGGCGGCACTCACACCTTTAATCCTATCACTTGGGAGGCAGAGATCCATCTGGATCTCTGTGAGTTCAATGTCACACTGGAAACAGCCAGGCATGGTGACACACGCCTTTAATCCCAGGAAGTGATGGCAGGAAGCAGAAAGGTATAAAAGGCGTGAAAACCAGGGACTAGAGCCTGGTTAAGCTTTTAGGCTTTTGAGCAGCAGTTCAGCTGAGATTCATTCTAGATGAGGACTGAGAGGCACCCAGTCTGAGGAAACAGGATCAGCTGAGGAACTGGCGAGGTGAGGAAGCTGTGGCTTGTTCTGCTTCTCTGATCTTCCAGCATTCACCCCAATACCTGGTTCCAGGTTTGTTTTATTAACAAGACTATTGAAGATTCTTCTACATCTGGCACCCAAGGTTCATGGTACGAATTCACAAAAAAGCCGCCTGCCTGTGTCCTTGTGGGCCCCGGCTCAGGCCTGAGCTATACTCGGCTGGTTGTGGTGGCACACTGGTAGGATTTATTGAAGGAGGCAGAGGCAGGAGGATCCCGAGTTCGAGGCCAGCCTAGGAGGCTTGCTAAGGAGAAGCTTTAGACGGGGCTTTTTGCCACAAACAGTGGTGGGACTATGGAGGCAGTGGCTGCTGCTCTGAGTTGCTGGCTCCTCATCATGTTGGTGACTGTGGTGATGCTGCTACCTGGGATGAAGGGTTTACTGCTGCTTGTTCAGAGAAGATTTGCCAGGACCATCGTGTTACAAGAAAGCATCGGCAAAGGTCAGTTTGGAAAAGACAAATGGTGGGGAGAAATTGCTGTGAAGATTTTCTCTTCTAGGGAAGAACATTGGTGGTTCCAAGAGACAGAGATTTATCAGATTTATCAGATTGCTCCAAACCACAGAGGAGGCACCAAAAAAAAAAAAAAAAAAAAAAAAAAAAAAATCTGCAGGAACCATGACCATGCCTAACAGCAACTTTGAAATTTTCAAAAAGATGACAGGACCCCATAATGACGATTCCACATGAACTATGGTAAAGTCATTAAGCTGATAAACACCAGAGAAAGATACATATTTGTTTTCATATTAAAATTTGATTTGTTGTTTTATTTGCTCATACACAGGGTCTCACTGTGTCATTCTGGGTAGCCTGGATCTTCCTGCCTCTGCTTCATGGGTGTTGGATTAATGGAGTACACCACAACACCTGACTTAAAGTTTGTTGAGAAATTCCATAAATTTAGAAATAACTGTAAAAATGTCTTTAAACTGAGTGGTGTAATATGGAATATGATTTGAGAATTAAACAAGGCCGCAACCATGTATGGACCTTGATGTCCCGATGTCACGGGAGGCCACTCTGACTTCAGTTCATAGTCTGAGACACTAGCTTTGGGTCTAACTTTATTTCTTTCCTACTTAGCCGAGGACTCTTAACAATGTTTAGCTACTAAAGCCACTGTAACTCTGCCCCCTTTAGCCACACAGTACTAACTCACATAGGGTAAGAACTAGGAGAATAAAGCCACGAGGCAAGAAGTTTGAAGCACTGGCTTAAAAGGCCAGCTTCATGGGGTCATTTGTGGTATATAGCTAGAGCGGTTCCTTGTTTGGAATTCTCATTGAGGTTAAGAAACAAAACAAAAAACTGTACAAAACTTGGGGTCCAAAAAGCATGATTTGAGTAGTTGTGCTAGGAAGTGGTGTAACCTAAACAGAAATGAAACCTAGTCACCAAGTGTTCGAGGGTGGTCAGTTACAGCCACCCCAAGTCACAGAAGCTCAGGGTCAATGCTCATGTTAAGAGCATCCCTGGGATGATTCTGAAGGAGTACATGAAGGACTCAATCTGTGGTGTTCAGATGAGAAATCCAGTCACAGCCACCAACAGGGTCTGCCCTGGATAGCCAGCTTGAGGGGCCAAGAGAATTAGGAACCTCTGTTTGCAATGAGGGGAAATACGGAAAAGAGCAAAATCAGCAAGGGAAAGGTGTTAGTGTGACAGAGAGTAAGGCGCCAAACAAGTTCTCGGCTGTTACGAGGAAGAGGTGGGAAAAGCTCGTACTGAGGACACCATATTTGGGACATGAATGGCATCAAACATCCAAGTTGCTTATGGAAGGTGGGGAGTCCCTGCTGTCACCTGTCCTGACAGCCAAGTCGACAGTCAGTTTTAAGCTGCTGGGTAGGCCTAAGGAAAAGCTGTGAAAGAGCATGTTTAAGATGTAAACTATGGCCACTGTGCCCCTTTAAATAGTTTCTGAGTCGCAGAGGAAGAATTTGAGTTAGTCGCTGAGAAGTTGGCTCTTCAAGGTGTCACCGAGGCTTTAGATGAGCAATACTAGGTAGGGCTTGACCTTCTTCTCCAGCCCTTCATGTGGCTTGGGGCGACTCCCTTTTCTACAACCCTCTGTTTCCCTCTTTGTGAAAACAGTTGGTATGATTAAATCCAAATAATACAGTAACAATTTGGGCAAATTTAGTAACCTGCAATTTATAATAAAGGAGTTTTTAAAAGCATAAGAATAAAATAGTTTATTAAAGGAATAGTACATACAAGACATCTTTTCTCAAGTACTTCAAAACAATAGCAATACTAGATCGTAGTTAATTTCTTTGTATATAAAAGAAGTGCAGAAAGAAACATGCCTTATTAGTTTCTATCTTACTGGGTATGGCTGTAGGTGACGTCCTCTATAAAAATGAGCCGCACAGCATCAGCGTACAGATAAGTTCACTCACACAGTTCATCTCTCAGGCTACCAGTGTAACATTTACACCATTGCTCAGCTCTAAACATTCAGCAAAAGGCTAGACTTGGAGTCTCAAGAGACAAAAGCAAACACTTGTTTTTCTAGAACTACCCGTTTATTAATGCATTTTGATAGATTATATTCCCTCACCAAAATCAAGCCCCCTGTTAAAGGAACCACCTACTTTACATTCAGTCTAAAACGAATGAGACTACAGTATTTTTTTTCCAATGTTTGCCACTTATAGTAAAGAAAAGAGGAACATCATGATTATAATTGGGCACCACACAATGTAGTCCCCTCAGAATAATCTCTAGAGTGTATAACCCAACATTGAGTGATGAGGGAAAATCTGCCTTTATTACCTACAAATTTAAAAGATGCTAAGCTGGACACTAATTTCCTGTAATGGGGAGTTTGTGCAAAAGTGCTTTCCACCCTGGAAATACATCCTGACATTAGCTGATTGTACATTATAACATTTTTTTTTTGTTTTGGTTTTGAGACAGGGTTTCTCTGTGTAGTTTTGATGCCTGTCCTGGATCTCGCTCTATAGACCAGGCTGGCCTTGAACTCGAGATCCGCCTAGCTCTGCCTCACAGTGCTGGGATTAAAGGCGTGTGTCAACGCCGCCCGTTCATTATAACATTTTAATAACATAAAAGAGGGTGAAGGCAAGGTGTAGCTCAGTGGTAGAGCCCTTGCCTAGCACAAACAGCCTCCTGGATTCCACCGCCAGCCCTGTAAAACATCACAAGGGGAAGCATCTGGCTCATTCCATTGATGGCCTGTGATACTTAAACATGGCGACATCTTTACAAACACCGTACCCAGACATCAATGTTTTGATTGATAATTCGCACTTTTTCATCAGAAAGGCTCATGTTGAAATCCAGTGCATATATAAACCAGTCACTGTGCTCCACACTGTGGAGCAGCATTGAGCAGATGACACATTAATGTCCTCACTCACTTACCCCACGGCTATGCCTCTATTTGCCTTCTAGGTCCTCTGCTGACACTTTGATCTCATTTCATACCCACCTAGAGTTGCCCCTAACCAAAAGATGTTCTTCCAAAGTCAGCCAAACATGGCAGCTACCACCATGGCCTGATGTCAGAAGCATGGGGTGGGGTGGAGAACCCATATTCCTCTCCTGTGGGACTTTGCTGATCTATTCAGAATGCTTATAACATACAGACTTGCTATTCGTATCATCTCACTGAGTGTAATTCACTTAGGATGCCTTTTCAAAGCTATTTGGCAGAGAGAAAATGGAGCTCATGAGAACTCAGTGGAGAAGAGGGCTGGAAGACAAGGGGAAGCTGTGGGGGCCCAGCACTTGGCACCTCTCATGGCATAGTGACTTTCTGTCTCAGCATACTATACACTTCAATCTCATGAATTCCTCTCTACCTTTCAAGACATTTACTTCCCAGGAAAAATGATTTCATAATAAAACAAGGTTTATAACCGCACTGTCTTCTAGCACAATTTAAAGCAACAGGTCTTAAGGATAGAACCCAAGGGACAAATTGTAAGTGAAGCCCATCCTCGCCCGCAGCTGCTTAAAAATCTTCATTACAGATACATCCCATTGATGAGGTAGTCAGATTCCTCAGACGTAATGGGACGGGCTTTCTTCAGTTTCTGCTTCACCAGTCGGAGTCGGCAAGTCACCATGAGAAGTAACAAAGCAGTGATGGCCAGACCCAGTGCCAGGGGTAACACTGCACCTATGCAAGGTTTGGGGGGGGGGTTGGGAGAAGCACTGGTTAGCAGTTGGCAACAGTGGCAGCTACTGGTTACTATATGATGAGCACCCGGCATGCATTATTTTACCCATCTGAACATCTCCAGTTGGTACTGGTACTACTGCTGCTTTTCTGACAAAGGTACAGAGAGGTTGATTCCCCTGTGTAGTTATGTACTGTAGGTCTAGTCTTAAACCCAGCCCACTTAAAAACCAAATTCTCTACCAGGTTGTTGCAAAAGTTGCCTGGCATCAGGAGTAAAAACACCACAATGAGACCACCCTTATCTCCAACTATCCTAGAGACTGAAACCGCGAGAAATGTTCTCATTATAGTCTTGTGACATTTATGGATTCACACATGAGCGTCTTCTGATTAGCTATCGTCTAACTCTTGATTTCTGGTTCTGGTAGGGCTTAAGATATTAATTTCCAGGACTTGAAAGACGGTACCATGGTTAAGACACTTACTGCTCTTCCAGAGTACCCAGCTTCAATTCCTAGCACCCACAAGTCGGCTCACAACCAACTGTAACTCTAGTTCCAGGGGATCTGATGTCCTCTTCTGGCCTCCATAGGCACCAGGCACTCACGTGGTACATAGACATACATACAGGTAAAACACCCACATACAGAAAATTAATTTTTTTTAAATCCAAGGATCCTACTATCTTCTAGTAGACCATATTGAAAAGTGTCATCAAATATGCTGGTGTACTTGGTCAGCCCTAAAAACAAATGCATATGGGCAACACTGAACAGATTCAGCAGGTTGTATTTGTGTGTGTGTGTGTGTGTCTGTCTGTCTGTAACAATAATAAAAAGGGGCCATGTATTTTTGGGGGAGAAGGGAGCACAGGAGAAGTTAGAGAAAAGGGAGGAGGAAGTAATGTTATGTTTTAATTAAAGCTAAAATTGTAAAAATATGCTGGTGTAACTTTGGCCATTGGTTTTTCCTTTGGAGCTGGACCTGGGCAGCAGACCAGAGTAGCTTGTAGTTTTCCAGAGTCTGGAAGCGGCATGGGAGATGTGTCTCCAGTCAAACTCAGCAGACGCTATTCTTAGCCCCTCTACACTGGAGTAGGGGCAGGTCTGGGATGATCGTGAGGCTATTTTTAGCTGCACCTTCCTGCAGCTGGACAAACTAAAGGAGCCAACATCTCCATGTGTAGCTTGGTTCTGAAACATTTTGCTTTGCTTATTTACTCTGTGTTGATTAATATCTTTCAATGTGCCGAACACTGGCCTAAGAGCTAGTAATCAAAGATAAGCCATTGTTTGTTTGTTGCTCACAAAAAATACCCCAAGGATAAGCTAATACTAAATGCCAGCTTTATAGCTGAGTAACTGAATGCTCACAACCACGTGAGCTGGTACTAACATTATAGCCGTTTTACAAACGATGGAAATGGGGGCATCTAATACTGTGTCATATGTCCTGGAGCACCCCCACCCATTCAGGACAGAGCCTGTGGTCTAGTCCTTACAGTGCCCATTTCTCCAAGACGGATGTGAGAACATGTCTGGATAACTTCAACCCGAGAAGATAGGCGTTTACTAGAAAGGCTGCAAAGAAATGTTAATATTGCAACAACAGAATTGTATTTAAAATCTAATGATGGGAAGAAGTATCTGGCTGGTAAGATTTTGGCTAGAGTGATTTGGATCTTATGTGGGAGCTCAGTTTGAGGGAGGGAAGAAGGTAAGTTTGCTACATATGTTTGTTCTTGAATATATGTATATACTGTGGAGCATTTTCTGATTAACATGCCTGTAGGGCTGTAGTTCTCATCCTTCCTAACGCTGCGACTCTTTAATACAATTCTGAATATTCATCTGTGAGCATATCTGCATGCTGGGGATGGATAGAGGAGCAGTCTCACATATTCCCAATGGTCTCAGGTGACCCTTTCATTTAACCTCAAAAGGGTCATGACCCACAGGTTGAGAACTACAGCTGTAGGGGCTCCAGGTGGAATGTCCCCCTAGGCTCTTTGATTATCTGGTCTAGATACCTCGGAGCTGTTAGCATACTGATAGTAGCTGCTACAGTGAAAGTGAGATCAATAGATAGAAAGAAAGAAGGGACAGGGGCAGGCTCCAGAGGGCAAGAGTCAGAGGGCAGAGATGCGGAAAGCCAACAGAAGGGAAAGGCACCACAGGGAGTGGTTCCCATGAACGGGATGCCCCAAAGGGCACGGGGTAGAGCCTGGGGAGTCCACTAGATTAGCAAATGGAAATTTATTTACAGGACTGGGCTATTTTCTTCTTTGTGCACTGAAAGAGACCTGGTTGCTTGCAGCCACAGAGGGTGTGAACCAATGGAGATTAAGAGATGGTGGCAAATGCCACTGGGGAAATGGCTACATCAAGACTCAGGAGCGGTGGCCTTGCAGAGGTAGGAAAGGAAGAGAGCGTGGGGCAAACACACAGGTCTGTTTGAGGGTAGGAAGCTAAGGAAGTTCTTTCCAGACAGCCTTAACTTTAGGCACTTACAACTGGCCCCAGGTGTAGCTGGCCTCACCTTGACATGACCTCAAGATGATTTCACACTAGGGGCTTCTCAAACTCTATGTTAGTATCCGAATACCCAGGACTGTCCTGTGTCTGGAACGTGAGGAAAGGATTTGGAAGTTGCTTTAGTGTCTACGGATATCAAATTTTAGGGTAAGGCCAGTGCTCCCTTATAGAATTGTGAAAGAAAAACCTGAGGAAATGCACAGCCTAGAAACTGGTTCTAGAGCCACCCATCCCACAGCCTGCAGTCTGGAAGCATCCAGAACCCCTGCTTCTCCTTGCATTGAGGTTTTAGTGGCCACTACCGGCTCCTAGTGCCATCCTGATGAAAGATGTTTTCCAAGGGCTAAGTGGCCCGCAAGTGTCAGGACCGAGACAAAGGAAGGCTTTGTTCCCCTCCCACAGGAGCTCAGAGACCCCCTCAACCACTTCAGCTTGGAATACAACAGCCCCAGTTTCGCCTCCGAGTCTGGCTTGATCAAAGATGAAAAGCAGTGTTTAGGATAAAGGCGGGGAGCAAACTTTGGGTGGACATCTCAATCCTGTGGCTCAGGCGGGGAGCAAACTTTGGGTGGACATCTCAATCCTGTGGCTCAGGCCCACCTAGGGTGACAAAACAAAATTCATGAAAATCTCTGTTTCCCAAATCAGGTATGAGGTTGCGAATTCCTGTTTAGGGCTCTGTGTCTCTCCCTGGGTCTGTCTTTGTGAAGTGTGTGGGTGTGTCACACACACACACACACACACACAAACATCTATAATGTAGTATTTGCCAGAATACTGAAACATATTCTTCTCTTTTTAAACTGAGTTGTGTGTATGTGCACTTGTGTGTGTGTGTATGCTCACAGGTGTGTGTGTGTGTGTGTGTGTGTGTGTGTGTGTGTGTGTGTGTGTGTGTATGCTCAGGGCAGAGGTTGATGCTGGGTGTCCTCTTTAGTTGCTCCCCATCTTAGTCTTTGAGACAGGTCTCTCACTGAACCTAGAGCTCGCCTGGCTACACTGGCTGGCTAGTGAGCCCCTGAGATCCTCCTGTCCATCCTCAAAGTGCTGGTGTTACAGACATGTGCCACCACATCTGGGCTTTTCCCTGGGCACTGGGGACCTGAACTCAGGTACTCATGCTTGCACAGCAAATATTTTACACACTGAGTCATCTCCCTATTGCCGCCCCCCCCCCCCCCCCCCCCCCCCGAGACAGAGTCTCACTCCATAGCCCAGGAAACTCACTATGTAGCCCAGGCTGGCCTTGACTTTATGGCAATCTTCCTGTTTCAGCCTCCTGAGTTACAGAGCCACCTCACCCAGCTTGCCTTTTTATTTTTTAGATCATGTAGAGAATGTGGATGTCTGTGTATGTGTGTGTGTGTGTGTGTGTGTGTGTGTGTACATGGGCTTGCCAGTGCATGTACATATGTATGGAGGTCAGAGGTTGACACTGAATATCTTTCACTATCACTCCATCTTATCGTTTGAGACAAGGTCTCTCACTGAACCCAGAGCTCATCTATTGGCTAGAATAGCTGCCCGGTGAGCTCCAGGGACCTACCCATTCCCATTTCTCCAGGGCTGAGGTTACAGATCTATGTGACCATGCCCAGCTCCTAGGTGGTTGCCACAGACCCAAAATTACGTTCATGCTCTTGTATAGCAAGCACTTTACTGGCTATGGCGGTTTGCAAGAAAATGCCTGTTAGGATCCTGCCCTCACTCCCGCACATGCACAGCTCGGGGTCTTACATCTTACATCATCAGGGGGCGCTGGTGACTATGTACGCACAGTGGGGCCACACAGTCTGCACCTTAAAAGCCGGATGCAGACTCTATCTTCTCTCTTTCTCTGCTCTCTTCCTGCTCTGCTCTGCTCCCCTCTTCCCCCACCCCACCATCTTTCTCTCTTACCAGGTCTGGTCCCCTTCCCTCCTTTTCCCTCCTAATAAAGCTCTGAAAACTAACACTGGGTTCTGTGTGACCGTGACCTTTCCACGTGGTAACCAGCACTGCCACTAGTGATGTTTATCATCCTTTCAATGCCCCTCAAAGGAAGTGGCAGTATTAGGAGTTGTGGCCTTGTTGGAGTAGGTGTGGTCTTGTTGGAGGAAGTGTCACTGTGGAGGTGGGCTTTGAGGTCTCAAATATGTTCAAGATACTGCCCAGTATCTAAGTTTACTTCCTATTGCTTACATATCAAGCCAGCACCATGTCTGCCTGCCCATTGCTTTGCTCCCAGCCGTGATGATAATGGACTGAACCTCTGAAACTGTAAGTCGCCATCTCAATTAAATGTTTTCCTTGTAAGAGTTGCTGTGGGGACTGAAGAGATGGCTCAGTGGTTAAGAGCACTGACTGCTCTTGCAGAGGACCTGGGTTCAATTTCCAGCACGCACATAGAAGCTCACAATCGTCTGTAATTCCAGTTCCAGGGGACCCAACACCCATAGCAAAACACCAATGCACATAAAATAAAAATAAATTAATTAAAAAAACCCTACAATTAAGAGTTTCTGTGGTCATGGTGTCTCTTCACGCAACAGGAATCCTAACTAAGACACTAGCTGAGCCGTCTTCCCAGCCCCTTGCCTCTTTGAAACAGGATTTTGCTATGTAGATCATGCTGGTCTCACACTTGTGAGCCACTCTCCTGCCTCTGCCTCCCAAGGCTGTGCCTAAGGGGTTACAGGCATGTCCACCACATAGTACTTGTGTGTGTGTGTGTGTGTGTGTGTGTGTGTGTGTGTGTGCGTGCACACACATTGGTGTTTTTGCCTGCATGTGAGTTTGTATGAGGTGCAGATCCCTTGGAGCTGGAGTTACAGACAATTGTAAACTGCCATGTGGGTGCTGGGAACTGAACTTGGGTCCTCTGGAAGAGCAGTCAGTGCTCTTCACTGCTGAGCCATCTCTCCAGCCCCACCACACAGCATTCACTCTTTGCTGTTTAATCCTTAGTTGACATAGTTTCCTGAATACTTTCAGTTTGGGCAATTTGAAATTATTTTCTCTCCAACTCCTTCTAAACTATCTGTTTGTAACTATCTAAAGTGAAGTCTCTCTCTTTCATACCCATGCTTAAAAATGTATTAAAATGGCTTAATACATTCCAACTCTGTACCATAAAAAAAACTAAGAGGATGAATTATCTATTCTGCTTGTATGAGTAGGAATGATATTCAAGCCATCTTAACAACTAGAATAAGGAGCGTTCCATTAGAACTGAGCCTCTAGGGACATGTGACCATGGGCTCCAGACAGGCTGGCTTCTCTCTCCATGCTGACAGGTGACAGGGAGTCATTCTAACATTCAGAGACAAGCCACATTCAATGGGCCAGCAGACTGCAGTGGATACAGACAGCTGTTGATATCTGCGTTATGCTCAGACATCATTTGTTTAAAAATTATATTTGGTATTATCCAGCCAAGAAAAGGAAATGACCACTGTTGTACAGATACTACAAAGAATAGTCTAGGGGGAAAAGAAAGCTTTGTCCATGTTTAGATCGATAATTTAGGGATTATGTTTTGTTCCCCTAGGTCTTTCTGCTGACTTAGTGAGAGGGATTCAGGGCTAAAACCTTTCTACAGGATCTACACCATCAGTGTGCTCTTTCCTATTAAAAACAACCCAAATGATGAAACTGACCTTCCACATGTCAGTGTCCTACCTGCCTCCTGTACTTCCCATGTTCCTGGAATGTTCCATCATTAAGAGCACACTCTCTTCCTCACTTTTCTACCTCACACGTAACTCCATCTTAACAGCCATAATTTACAACCAAACCATGCAGTATACACGAAACACTGTGGCGTTCACCCTCCACAGTCACCCTGTGAGGTAGGATGAGTTATTGCTGTCACCTCCCATGAAGTCACTAGAATCCAGAGATAAGGACCTGGCTATGGTTGTGGAGTTGAGTGAAAGAGCCGGAATTTGAACTATGGTGTCTGATCTGTCCTGGATCTCACTCTGTACACCAGGCTGGCCTCGAAATCAGAGATCCACCTGCCTCTGCCTCCCGAGTATGGGGACTAAAGGCGTGCGCCACCATGCCTCGCTGAGCCTGTATTCTTATGTGGCTTTTCCCACAGAGTGATCCCTGGAAGGATGTGGGAAAGACAGAGTGAGAGCCAAAGACAGTAGGCTGCTGTCAAGGGCACCATTTGCACGTGACCTTGAAGATGAGAAGACAGTTCCGGTCCCCAGAGCACTGCTTCAACCTGAACTCTCACAGCCCCACCTGACACGCAGCCAGGGCTCGGGTGGTTCTGTGGACCTCACTGCTCTGCAGCGTGTTTCCAAGGCATACACTGACCTGCTTCTGGGGCTGGGTGGTCCCCTCGTGCGTGATCACTCTTGGACTTGAAAATGTAACTTCCCTCTTCTTGGTTCTTTCCTGAGGAATTACTGTCTGTGGGAAGTGAGCAGATAGATGTTAAAGGGACATTAAAGACTTCCGGAAGTAGGCATGGAATTACAAGTTTACTTTTTTTTTTTTTTTTTTTTTTTTTTGGTTTTTCGAGACAGGGTTTCTCTGTGTAGCTTTGCGCCTTTCCTGGAACTCGCTTTGGAGACCAGGCTGGCCTCAAACTCACAGAGATCCGCCTGGCTCTGCCTCCCGAGTGCTGGGATTAAAGGCGTGCGCCACCACCGCCCGGCACAAGTTTACTTTTTAATTTAGGTATATGTCTGTCTGTCTGAGTGTATGACATGTATATGGGTACCCACAGAGGCCACTTGTGAATCCCCTGATGTGGGTGCTGGGGTTCAAACTCATCTTCTCTGGTTAACCACCAAGGAATCTCTCCAGTTCCTTATTTAAGGTTTTTGTTTGTTTGTTTGTTCAGAGAAGAAAGCCAAGAGGTCAGAGCTAAGATCCTCACCCTTCCTGCTTCAGGGATCCTCTTCAGCCAAGAGAGCTCTCCGAAAAGGAGCTACTTCCTGTGTGTTTGTCTTTATAGCCTTTCTGTTCTGCCTTCTCATTGGTTGTAAACCCAAACATGTGACTGCCTCGTCACTGCCTGTATGTACAGACTTCCAGGTCTTCTATGGTTGGGATTGAGATTAAAGGCGTGTGTCTCCAATGCTGGCTGTATCCTTGAACACACAGAGATCTACCTAGCTCTGTCTACCAAGTGCTGGGATTAAAGGCGTGCGCCACCACCGCCATGCTCTTGCTATGGCTCTAATAGCTCTGACCCCTGGGCAACTTTATTTATTAACATACAATTAAAATCACATTTCAGTACAAGTAAATACCACCACAGTTTGTTGTTGTTTTTCAAGACAGGGTTTCTCTATGTTATAGCTCTGACTGTCCTGGAACTAACTCTGTAGACCAGGCTAGACTTGAATTCAAAGAGATCTGCCTGCCTCTACCTCTGCCTCCTAAGTGCTGGGATTAAAGGCCTGTGCCACCATGCCTGGCTCCCTTATTTACTTTTTAAAAGATAAACTTAGAGAAAGGAATGGCAGGGTTTATTTTTGAATAAACATAGGCCGGTTGGGCATGGTGGCTCATGCCTTTAGTCTCAGCACTTGGGAAGCAAAGGAAGATGGATCTCTGTCAGAGACCCTGCAAGCCTCATGGCTCAGAGTGAGATGATCTGCTCAAGGTGAAGAATGACTTGGCACGACATCATGCGAACTTCCAGAATCTGACCTTGTTTATTCTTCTTACACATTTAAACACAGTAAAGCTGGGAAAGGTGTCCACGTGGCACACACGGAACAGAACTCAGGGGGTGGCTAATGCTCCACCACGGAGCTATGTCCTGGCACCCTTTGCTCATTTACAAATGAGGGACCAGTACGCTTGGAAAGGGCTCTCTCCAAATTGGTCTAGAAGTAATTGAAACAACCTTAAGTTGATTATCATGTTTTTTTCCCACCAATGAAGGAAGGATACTAACACCACAGGGGCTAGGGTTGCAGTGAGGTGCTCAGAGCTATGTTAACATGCATCAGGCTCTGCCTGGCTTAAGTCCCTAGAGTCCAAACCTTACTCCCCTAATCACTGCTTATGAATAGTCAAATATTTCCCCATAGGGTAGTGTTCTAAGATCACCATCTCTCCCTGTGCCCAAATGGAGGATATGTAAAGGAATCTGCTGATTGTCTTAAATGACATTTTCCACAGAAGTAAACAAGTCAAGGAAAGAGGGCCTACTCCTCTCAAAATTTCAGGGAAATAATCCTTGATTATCCTTATTTGTGTTAGGTTTAGATGAGGGGTAGGTGGGTCAAGAGGACACTGAGATGGGCTATTGAAGACTAAGGAGTTTCTTAGAGGAGGAGTTACTAATGCCAGGGACAGACAGACAGACAGACAGAGAGACAATAGTAGAGGTTCCAAGGAGACTGCAGTCTCCAATACCAGAGATGGCAAGTCCCTGAAGAGGATCAGGGACTTTGTGGCATAAGAGCCTCTTAGGACTCTTCAAGGCTGGGGGACTTCACAGCCAGGGCTGGAAGCCAGGCTCTCTCCTTGTCAGACGGAAGGCAAGGAGGTGGGTGGGGAGCAGGATGTACATTCTGCCAATGCCTTAACAGTGATACCATCTGAAGGAACGCACTTCCTGGAGGAGGAGTCCTATCTTTACTGACCCAGTAGGGTGATATACTGGAGGAGGACATTCTAACATTACGTTCTTGGGGTTTGTGATAAATGAACCTCCTCACACTGGATATTTTGAGATGGATTCCCAGCACCATCTTGGAAGGACACAAGCTTTTACAGCTGTTCCATAGACCACACTTCCACAGATCCAAACTACCTTTCTGGAACTGTGATCATATAGATTCCGATCAGTTGCCCCGTAACATGAAATGTGAGAATTCTAGACAAGAACATGAGGAAGGAAACCTTTAAAACAAGTCTAATTTAAGGCTTTTGTTTTGTTTTGTTTTTTCGAGACAGGGTTTCTCTGTGTAGCTTTGCACCTTTCCTGGAACTCACTCTGTAGCCCAGGTTAGCCTTGAACTCACAGAGATCCATCTGGCTCTGCCTCCCACCGAAGTGCTGGGATTAAAGGCGTACGCCACCACCGCCTGGCCTTTAAGGCTTTTTTTTTTTTTGTGGCACCTTCTAGGAAGTTGGCCATTCAAGATGAAGCTGAATATCTCCTTTCCAGGCACCAGCTGTCAGAAACTCATTGAAGTGGATGATAAACAAAAGCTTTGTATGTTCTGTGAGAAGCACAAGGTCACAGAAGTAGCTGCTGATGCTCTGGGTGAAAAGTGGAAGGTTATGTGGGAACCACAGACAAGGTTTTCCCATGAAGCAAGATGCCTTGACCCATGACAGAGTCCCCCTGCTGTTGAGTATGGGGCAATCTTGTCATAGATCAATGAGAACTGGGTAGAGGAAATGCAAGTCTGTTCAAGGATGCAGTGTGGATACCATCTCTATGTTTTCAATGTATATTTTTGATTATTATAAAAAGGGGTGAGGGGGAGGATATTCCCAACTGACAGATACTACTGTGCCTCAATAGTTGGTGCCCAAAAGAGCTAGCAGTACCTGAAGGTTTTCAATCTCTCTAAAGATGATGTCCACCAATGTTTCTAGAAAGCCCTTAAACAAAGAAGGTAAGAAGCCCAGGACCAAAGTGAGGGAGACCAGCCTCCTCTTTTTCCCCCAGGGTACTCTTGAGGAGGGATAAGTGAGAAGTATGTAGATAGAAATATAGAGGAGAGAGACAGTTAGAAACACAGGATAGCTCGGGAGGGCCTGGGTCCAAACCCATTAGCACCTTCTGTCTCTTCTAAAGGGCTTTTAAATGAATGCCAATGGGTGGAGCAAAAGACCTCCCTCCAGCACAGCCAAGCACAGACCATCCCAGACACCTGGTGACCATGCGTGTGGTCAAGCCATCCGCTAGTGCAGCCCTGCTGGGTAAAGCAAGCTCAGATCTCACTAGGAAGCTTATGTGGGCTCCCACACCAAAGCACCCAAGAGTCAGCGTCTATTATTCTGCATGTCCTGAAACTCGATATTGCTCTAAAGAAACAATGCACTAAGAAAAGCAAAGAGGAGGCTGCAGAATGTGCTAAACTTATGGCCAAGAGGATGAAGGGAGCCAAAGAAAAACACCCGGAACAGACTGCCAAGAGATGTAGGCTGTCCTCGGTGAGCGCTTCTACTTCTGAGTTCAGTCCAAAACAAGTCTTGAAGAGTAACAAGTAAATGATCAAACTTGACTCTCAAAAGAAATAATGAAGTCCCTAAAACTGATAGAGTAGCTTACAATGAATGAGACCCTCAATTTGACTCCCAGCCATATAGAAATAAATAAGTGAACGAATGCCCTTAAAACAAAGACCTTTTATATAACTATTACCTGAAAGATAAGCTAAGGTTCAAGGTTTTGGTGTATTTAGTAGAGGAAGAACCACACCCGTATGCAGAAAAGGTTTGGGTTTCTGTTCATGTTTCAGCCCAGTTCCTTGAAGGACTTGGCTGATCTGCTACACTACCCACAAATTCCTAAGTTCCCAATAAACAGAGCCCATGTAAACTGGTACACAGCACTGCTTTATACCACTCTGCAGGCCTGGAAACCGGCTTTCCTTCCTCCCAGGTAGACTGGATGCAAGAAGACAGCCTTGTTAATGGTGACTTGGACCACACAGAGAACCGGCCCCACAGCTGCAACCACATTCAACGACAATCCAGCCATTGTGCCAGGAGACGCTGAGCAAACACAGACAGCATCTGTGCTACCAAGCGCCAGGGGCGCAGGACATTCTGAGCACGCATTCACCGTGTAACCAAACATTTATACATGCCCTATACAATCTTAAAAAAGACTGTGTTTGAGGTTGAGGGTGTATTTCAATGGTTCAGTGAGTGTTTTGCATATATAAAGCACTGAGTTTAGTCCTCAGCATGCACAAAAAATGGTGCCTGCATTGAACACATACAGAGACTTATCATTAGTCCCTAAAAAATACAGTATAAGAACTATTTATTTAGTACTTATACTATATAAGGAATTACATGTAATTTGGGGATGGTTCGCAGCATACAGAAGGATGTGTGTATAGGTCACATGCAAATATAATGTAATGTTATTTTTTTTTTTACATTTAGTTATTTTGTATGTATGTGGGCGGGGCATGCATGTATGCCATGGCCCTTGTGTGGAGATCAGGGGATAGATAACCTGCATGATTGGGTTCTCTCCATCCATCAGGTGAATCCTTGGGGCTGGAACTCAGGTCGTTAGGTTCTGCAGTAAGGCCCTGGACTCACTGAGCTGTCTCCATGCCCCACAGTGCTACTTTTATAGATGGTACTTGAGCGTCTTTGAACTTTGGTGCTCACGGGCCCTGGAATGGATCCCTCAGGGATATCAAGACATCAATGGAGGACTGTTTTTACTAGACGTTCCTTTCCATAAACCAACACTTGGTTTCTTTTCAGTGCTGGAGATCAAATTGAGGGACTCTGGATGCTAGACAAGCTTCCATTGACCTACAGCTCCAGAGCTCCTTCGCTGTATTAGGACAAATGTCAGGGTTGCTTTCTGTTTTATTTTGTTTTGGCCAAGTTCTTCATTTCAATTTGTAAATCATTCTATTTTGGAGTACATTTCCTTGATGGTCTTCAAGCATGAAATATAACTCTGTTAGCCATACTAACAACAGAAAACAAAGACTATTCATGGAGAACTCATTTTGAGTCCTTACCTGGCATGACAGGACTGATTTGACTCTCTGGCGCCCTCTGGGTGGAGTGAATCCTCTTCTCTGTGTGGGATACAGTAGCTGGTTGGTTGTGGGGACTGGCTTTCTGGGGCTTCTCAAACCGGGGGTCTCCTTCACTCAGTCCTGTGGTTCCTGGCTGGGCAGAAGTAGCCGCTGTGTATGTCTCCATCTTGCGGTCAAGGCCCACTGTGGAAGAACTCCATTACTTGCTGGGTTTCTTTTCTCTCTCCTCTCTCTCTCTTTGTGTGTAAGTGTGTGTGTGTGCCATACTGCATGTGGCAGCCTGAGGACAACACTGTTGTTCCTTAGGAGCCATCCACCTCTGTTTTTGAGACAGATTCTCTTCTTTGTGGCTTGGAACCCGGAACTTATCAAGCAGGCCAGGCTGTAACCAGCAGGCTCCTGGGATCCTCCTGTCTCTGCTGCCTCTGTCCTGGGATCACTACCACAGACCTCCACATTTACCTTTTTTACACGGATGCTGAAGAACTCTCACCTCCTCTGCCTTGCATTTCTTTTCTGAACTTTAACTGAGACTATTGTATCTGCAGTTGATTTAAAATCATGGCTCCTGGAGACTAATATCCCAATCATGCAGGGAGACATGCAGAGCCCAATAAAATCTATTGCTTATTTTTGAAATGGGCAATGTGTTCTTTCCTCTTTCAGTAGCTTTCCTAACATGGACAAAGACAAAAGACAAATTCAACTGTGTGTGTGTGTGTGTGTGTGTGTGTGTGTGTGTGTGTGTCTGTCTGTCTGTCTGTCTGTCTGTCTGTTTCAGTCTCTCTACTTTGATAGCAATGGGGGTTGAGCCTTGGACCTCATGCACATGAGGCAAACACTAAACCACTGAGCTACTTCTCGGCTCCTCAACTTTATGTTCTGGGACGTTTTTTCCCTCTTCCTTACTCTAGCACTTTATTAGAACATTTTCTACAGCTCTTCTTTCTTATGGTGCACTTTTAACTACACGTGCTTACAAAACTGGTTTATAGTTCTAACTTAGCCACACCCCAGTGTGTCATGAATAGTCCTTAAAAAGTAGAAAAGCAGTGCCAAGCACGGTGGAAGGAAGCACACGCCTATAATCTCTGAACTTGGAAGGCTAGAGGATTGTGAGTGTGAGGTCAGCCTGGGCTACATGGCAAGTCTGTATCACCCAATAAATAAATAAATAAAATAAAAAATAAAATCAATGCAAAATGTTAATGTATTTCAGTTTTTTTTAAAAGTGTGTTACACACTGGGTGGTGGTGGTGCATGCCTTTGATCCCAGCAATCAGGAGGCAGAGGCAGGGGGCAGAACTCTGTGAGTTCAAGGCTAGCCTGGTTTACAAGGCAAGTTCCAGGACAGCTAGGGCTACATAGTGAAACCCTGTCTCAAAACAAAAAAGCCAAAACAGCAACAAAAAGGTGTATTACACCACACGGAGGAGGTCAGAGGACAACTTGTCAGTCAGTTCCCTCCCCACCATGTGGGTCCTGGGGTTAGACTCGGGTCATGAGGCTCCAGCAAGCTCCTTTACTCAGTCAGTCATCTTGCCAGCCATGCTTCAGGCTTTTTTTTTTTTCTTTCTTTTTCTTTTTTCAAGTGTATGTTATGCAATACTTTAAAGATAGTCCAAAGAAAATCTTTGGAAAGTTGAAAAAAATCATATGCAATACCAAAAACCTGTCATCTGCAACTCAGACTATAGCCTCAGTGAGTTCTGAAGCATAGCTTTTCCGTGGAAAGTTATTCCTGGAACCAGCAGTGGAAGGACACCGGGTTCCCGTTTTATCGCAAGAACACAGACAAGCCTCTGCCGCCCCTTCCAGATCCCCGCCCGATAAGGCCAGGCAACTGACTCACAGTTTTGACAGAAGTCTTCGTCAGACCCATCTGGACACTGCCTCACTCCATCACAAGCCAAGGTGATGTCGATGCAGCAGCCGTTCTCACAGAAGAAATGGTATCGCGAGCACACGCTGGAGCATCCTGTTTGCGAACAAGTCTCAGGTTGCAGGGTTGCAGAGAGAGTTAGCATCCCTGTCAGGATGACTGGGGAAAGGGAACTCCAAGCAGGGTAAAGTGACAGGGATGATGAGGAAGACACACAGAGCTGGAGCAGCAGATTAGCGGGTCCCTCCATCACCCACCCGCCCGCGAACTCTCAGGGCTGCCCCAGAGCTCTATGTCTGGAAGTTGTTCTCCAAGCCTTTATTGCTCGGGCTCCTTTGCCTGCTGCTCATTTTGCATCCATTCCCTCATTTATCCATCACAGGCCCCGCGTCAGGTGGGTCACCTGATGCTATCCCAGCCCTTTGTGGACCATGTTTCAGTAGCAACACCATTTTATATAGTCTGTGTCTTGAATTCTTTTTTTTTTTTTTTTTTTTTTTTTTTTAAAGATTTATTTATTTATTATGTATACAGAAGAGGGCGCCAGATCTCATTACAGATGGTTGTGAGCCACCATGTGGTTGCTGGGAATTGAACTCAGGACCTCTGGAAGAGCAGTCGGTGCTCTTAACCTCTGAGCCATCTCTCCAGCCCGAATTCTTTTTTTAAGTAAGACATTTTTTCTTGAGATTACCTTTCTGCTGCTGACTTTTACATGTAGATGACCAGATCGCCAGTGTTGTGGAGGACAATCTGTATGTAGCTACTGGCTGGTGTGGATATACTTTTGTGAAATAATGGCATTTTTTTTCCTCTTGGAGCTTTCAGTCTGCAGTGAAATGCATAGAAGCTACAGATGTGGTTTTGAAAGGCATTTTTCTCTCCTCTTGATTAAGCCAACTTTGCTAAGTAAGAATCAGGCGGGGGCTGGAGAGATGGCTCAGCCATTAAGAGCACTGGCTGATCTTCCAAAGGACCTGGGTTCAATTCCCAGCACCCATATGGCAGCTCACAACAGTCTGTAACTCCAGTTCCAAGGAATCCAACACCCCCACACAGACATATATGCAGATAAAACACCAATGCACATAAAAGTTAAAAATAAATAAATTTAATTAAAAAAGAGGTAACTCTCGAATAATAGATATGAAAGACATCCAGCTAGAATCAGGTCTTAACGGGTCCTATGATTTGATGGTGACTGGATGAACTAAAAGGTTCTTTCGGGAACATGGGTGGCAAATTATGATAGTCCACTAACAGCAAAAGCTAAGCATTGTTGATACGCACAGACGAGATTGAAACTAATTTTGTTGAAAAGCAGTCAACGAAAAGACTAGAAAGTGAGTCTATTTGGGTGCGAGGAGATTAGAAGACAGTTTGATCCCAAAGAAGAAGTAAAGAAAGGACATAATGCAGACAGAGGCCTGCAGAGTCAGCGACCGCCACCAGGGGGAGCAGACGGGACCGAGGAGGCTGTAACCAAGCAACCCTACACATGTGACAGGAAAACCCCCGGAATTGCAGGGCTGTCCTTACTTCTGTGTAGTTTTAGAAACAGAGCTGCATTTATAACTTATATTTTTATGGAAGAGTCGTCTTCAGACTTTTTAAACTGTCTTACTAAACATCTGAAATTCATTCATAAATAATATGCATGTGCTCGTGTTTTGAGATGCGGTACCCGAGAGGGACTGCAGGGCTGAGTGGGCGAAGGTGCCTGTCACCAAGCCTGAACACATGAGGTCAATCCCAGAACCCCACATGCTGGAAAGAGAGAACCAGCGCCCTACAAGTTGTCCTCTGACTGTCACCCATGCCTGTGTGAGTGCAGGCACACAACACACGCTGCATGTACACACATGCACACACAGAGCGTAAGACATCATACACCGTATCCCATAAACTGAAAATTCCCAGAAGATTGAAAATTAATAAAAATAAAAGTTCAAGTCCTGGTCTACAGAGTGAGATCCAGGAAAGGCGCAAAGCTACACAGAGAAACCCTGTCTTGAAAAACTAAAAAAAATAAAAGTTCAAGTGTCTCATTTTCCTGCCCTAAAAATGCCTTCAGCATCAGGTGGGGTTTGTTCCTATTTGCAATCACTGTTCTAGCTCATTCTGAAATGCTCTCAAGCCTGCTATCTGAATATGCGCTCTCCCCCAGCATTTAAAGGTGTTAGAAGTGTCAAGATACTCAAAAACTGAACCAGGTCACAGTGTGTGTTTGTGTGTGTGTGTGTGTGTGTGTGTGTGTGTGTGTGTGTGTGTGTGTGTGTGTGTGTGTGCGCGCGCGCACTAAAGGAGACAGAAACATCGGTCTATGTCCCCACCTCTGTTTTCCACTGTTCATACATGGTATTTCTTCATACATGACGTCATGGTTCTAATTGAACCAGTAAGTGCTCAGATGGGAACAGCACCATGCTGACTGCTTTCTATGATTGTTTTTGTCCATTTGTTTATTCAAGGCAGCGTTTCTCTGTGTAGCCTTGGCTGTCCTGGAACTCACAGAGATCCGCCTGCCTCTGCCTTCTGAGTGCTGGGATTAAAGGCGTGCGCCACCATACCCGGCTTCTGTGAAATTTTTTGAGTGGGGCTTTTCAACTCGCTCATGTACCTTGCATATTTTAGTCTAACTGTACTCATGAGCCACACATTTTTTCTACCTTACATTTTTAAAATGATTTATTATATGAACTACTGATACAGTCATGTCTCCATTCTATCCTACGATATGCTTTCCCTCCTTGCACCCCATATTTTATTTTTAATGGATGGACAATAATAGTATATAGTTATATGCTATAGAACAGTATGTTTTGATATATGTACATATTGCAGAAAGACTAAATCAAGTCAGTTCATAAATCTATCACCTTACCTACTAATTTTTGTGGGAAGAACATTTAAGCTTGGTCTTTTGGCAATTTTGGAATGTACATTACTATCAGGCGTAGTCACCATGTCGTGCAGCAAAGGTCCCTAAAACACACTCCTCTGTTTAACTGGAATTTTGACAAGCATTTCCTACACAAATGACCCCAGCTTTTAGCAAGCACCATCCTGCCCTCTGCTTCCATTGGCTGGACTGTTTAAACTGTAGTCTTTAGTTGCACACTTCAAACACACATACGAGAAAGACCCTCTGTCTTTACACAAAACCCTCCTAGAAAAGCCGGGCACTGTCTTTGACAAGGTCAAAGGGGAAAGGTGGAAGGTCAGCTCATAGGACCCACTAGCCCATGGACTATGCTCTGAGAATGTTCTCTATACCCTAACCGGTGGGGCCAAATTGTCCTACATATAGAGCCCATGTTTGCTAATTATATTTTTAGCAAAAACTTCAAGCACCAAAAATAAGATGAAGAGCTTGTGAAATGTGTCACCAGGATGTAAAATCCCACAGACACCATCCTTCCCTGAACAGCTGGGCTTTGGCTGGCTGTGGGGAACTCAATGGAAGGACTTCCTTCTCACCTCCGGTGGAGTGGATCCTGGGAAGCACGCTCACAGACACGTTGTCGGAGCTTCTCTGGCCCATGGTGTCAGTCACAGTCAGCTGGAAGATGTATGCTCCTTCCTTCAGGTGGGACAGCTCCAGGGTTCCTGGCTGAGGCACCTGTCATACAGACATGTTTAGGGAAGAGAGCTGACCGAGCACAGGCCCAGGAACACACATGAACATGTACACTGCTCCCCCACCCCTCGCCCCACAATAAGCCATCAGCTCCTCCTTTCTCCTTAGAAATGACACATAAATAACCTTGAAACAGAAATAATAATGAATGATAGATGGCACTCAAAGTTAGAAATTACTTCTGAAGAGGGGTGGTGATGACGCACGCCTTTAATCCCAGCACTCAGGAGGCAGAGGCAGGCGGATCTCTGAGTTTGAAACCAGCCTGGTCTACAGAATGAGGACAGCCAGAACTATACAGAGAAGCCTTGTCTGGGAAAAAGAAAAGAAAAGAAAAAAAAGAAATGACTTCTGATGTACAAATTAACCAAGAAGCTGAGGTGTAAGGAAGACAAACAGGAAGGTGGCCCTGCACAAGTTCAGTCACTCACTCAAACACAGGAGAGGGATGCCATGATGGCAGTCACATGGAAAGATGAGCAGGTGGCAGGAGCCCTTGCTGACAGAAGACTCAGTGAGAACCTATTGTATAACCCAGCTGCTAAAACAGTTCATGCAATTAGCTTCATTAACAGGTGTTGAGACAAATGTTCGGATCACAGGAGGGAGCATTGGGTCAGAAGGAGCCATAGCACATGGGGGGAATTCTGTTAGGAGTTTCAGAGTTTATGAAGGATACACACCTAAGAAAATCCAGATCAGGCTAGAAGGTAGATGGTCTGAAAACCAGTACAAAGAGCTTTTATACAGAGTAAAAGGATGCGATCAGCATTTTCCGAAGGGAAGAGCTTGTGCCAATACATAGTGAGGTACAGACTCTTTGGGCTGACTAACAATACGCTAGGCCACTTGTTCTCAACCTGTGGGTCGATACCCCTTTGGATTTCAGATATCCTGCATATCAGTTATTTACATTAAGATTCTTAACACTAGCAAAATTACAGTTATGAAGTAGCAACAAAATAATTTTATGGTTGGGGTCATCACAACATGAGGAACTAAGCCAGGCAGTGATGGCATATGCCTTTAACCCCAGCACTTGGAAGGCAGACTCAGGTGGAATTCTGTGAGTTCAAGGCTAGCCTCATTTACAGAGCAAGTTCCAGGACAGCCAAGGCTATACAGAGAAACCCTGTCTCAAAAAAAAACAAAGGAGGAGGAGAAGAATTATTCTTTGCACGATAACAATTCTATTATTAGCTCACCTCTTTTTTTTTTTAAGATTTTATTTATTTATGTATATGAGTGCTTTATCTTTATCAACTTTATGCCAGAAGCAGGCATAAGATCCCACTAGAGATGGTTATGAGCCACCATGTGGTTGCTGGTGGCTCAGCACCTCTGGAACTCAGGACCTCTGGAAGAGCAAGCAGGCAGTGCTCTTAACCACTGAGCCATCTCTCCAGCCCCTCACCTCTTTATATTCATTTCTGTCATACTTCCTAGCCAGATTTTTAACTGAGGGTAGCTAGGAACTTGTGATATAGTCCAGCCTGGCCTTGAACTTGTGATCTTCCTGCCTCAACCCCTTGAGCACAAGCATGTGACATCACTCTTGGATACTACCCAAATCTTATACTAAGAAAGATAACCTTTTTAAGAATAATCAGAATTATTGAAACATGGTATAAGTCGTTCCCTTTGAGCTGAAGGAGCAGGACCCTGGCAATCTTCAAAGCAAACAATCAAGACTGTTTATTTAAGCACAAAAGGGAGTTTATAGAATAACCATTTTTAGGATAATTGATTTTATAATTTCTCCATTTTATGCAAGCTCTGCCTGTTTACAGGCATTCAGGGACTATGAAGGACATTATAGAATCCACCTCCCAAGACAGGCGGTAGTGGCACACGCCTTTAATCCCAGCACTCGGGAGTCAGAGGCAGGCTGATCTCTGTGAGTTCGAGGCCAGCCTGGTCTACAGAGCAAGTTCCATGACAATCAGAGCTGTTACACAGAGAAACCCTGTTTTGAAAAACAAAACAACAAAAAGAATGACATGAATCACCTTCATGTCCACTGATGGATCACCCTGCTTCAACGTCCACTCATAATGGACGATGGCGTGGTCATCTGTGCTTTCTCGGCCATCCAGAATCACCCCGTCTGTGGGCAGATGCAAAACCACATCCTTCCCGGCCTTGCTAAGTGGAGGCTCATCCTCACCTGTGAAAGACAACAGACCTCAGAGGCATGACTCCCTGATTTCCCAACCCACGAAGAGCAGTTATCTTGTTTGCCAAACAGATTAGTCCATCAAAAAGAATAAATATCAACTAAAATCTACCTTCCCATTAGCTTTCATTATGTTCCCTTTATACACCAAACAATAAACCAGCAATCTATTCTGACGTGAAATTTTAGCAAGTGGAAGTGGAAGTATGGAGGTCCAGCTCTTCACAGTAGCTATAGAAAACTAATAATATATTTAAATTTTTTTAATGATTTATTTTCACTCTATGTGCATTGGTGTTTTGTCTGCATGTGTATGTCTGTGAGGGTGTCAGATCCCCTGGAACTGGAGTTACAGACAGTTGAGCTGCCATATGGGTGATGGGAATTGAACCTGGGTCCTCTGGATGATCAGCTGGTGCTCTTAACTGCTGAGTCATCTCTCCAGCCCCCAATAATATTTTTAAAAAACCTTCAAAAGTTTTATGTGGAGGGGTCAGGAAAGCACTGAAATATCTTGCCTGTCATGAAACAAGATTGCCTCCCCTGAAGGAAAGTCAGGATGTCACTGACTTGTGTTTAAGCGGGCCATAGATGTGATTTCTGAACCCAGGGATACCCTCCCATCCCAACCTGACCTCTGATGACCTCTGAGATAACAATTCCTCCTCAGTTCCAATGCAGGCCAATTATACTGTAAAATGTACTTTGAAACAAACCAGAGCTCATCTACACAGAAACAGTCCCGGGAGCAACAAAGGACAGCAGTTACCAAGAGCAAGAAAAATGTAATTTTGAATTTTCATTATAAAAATGTCATCGACCATGTTAGCACTATGGAAACATTGACTTCTCTTGGAAAGTAAACACAGCAGGTAAGACAGAGGTGAATTAAGACTCACACCAATCAAGCCTGAGTGTTTCAAAGTGGGATGTAATCTAGAGGACGATGTCAGCTGACCTCATTCACAACACACTGCCGTGAATGGAACCTTCCTGGTAAGACCTTCTGAATCTGTGCCAACTGGTGCAAAGGATACAGATTGGCTGAGAAATAAAAATATGACTGCAGGATGAGGAACTGAGGTGGGGCCAGAGAAGGGAAGAGAGGTAAATACAGAGGAACACTGTAGTGCATTTTATTTGTTTTTCTCTCCTAGGCTGCAGAGTCCATCATTTATTTCTTAAATTGCATCATTCCAGAAAAAAAAGAAAGAAAACATATCCACAATTCCAGTATGATTCTCATTCTATCTAATATGTACAGTCCAGTTTTTCCCATAAGATACTGATGATCAAACACAATCATATTTACGTAATTATAACTTAGGGTGAGCTCTTTGTACCACGAAGCATGCTGGGTGCTCTACAGGCGCCACCTCACTTGGCACCCACTGTCAGTCTGAAGTGGGCATCATGAGTGGCAGACATGGGCTCAGAGAAGCTGAGTCAGGCGACTGACATCACACGCAAGTGGTGAACCTACATCCGATCCTTCTAAATCACAGGCTGCTTCCACTGTATTTCTTGTTATCTTAATAATTTATAGAGTTGGATCCATTAATGTATTGCTCTATTCCACCCGTTAATATTTATTCAGACATTTTGGCAATGTCAATGAAACTACATAGACTCCACGACTTCCATTTTGACTTCTTCTTTTGGGTTTCTAGGGATGAAAGTCAGAGCCTGTGTACACTGGGCATGTGTCCTACCACAGAGCCACACTTCCTGCACCCATTTCTCTCTCTCTCTCTCTCTCTCTCTCTCTCTCTCTCTCTCTCTCTCGTTTTTTTTTTTTTCCGAGACAGGGTTTCTTTGTGTAGTTTTAGTCCCTTCCTGGAACTCAGTCTGTAGACCAGGCTGGCTCCAAACTTACAGAGATCTACCTGGCTGTGCCTCCTGAATGCTGGGATTAAAGGCGTGAGCCACCACTGCCTGACCCATTTTTATTTCTTAACCCTTAAAATTGGACATTTATTTTTCATCAACTTTATCACTATAAACAATGCCACAATAAACATATTTTTGCTCATACTGTTTCTCTAGCACAGATCATTCTCCTTAAAAAGAAAAATTCCAGAAGAGTGGTTCTCAACCTGTAGGTCACAACCCCTTCAACAAACCTCTATCTCAAAAATATTTGCCTTACGATTCATAACAGTAGCAAAATTAAAAGTTTTGAAGTAGCAACAAAATAATTTTATGGTGGGGGGGCGTCACCACAGCATAAGGAACTGTATTAAAGGGTCACAGCCTTAGGAAGGTTGAGAACCACTGATCTAGAAGAATGGATATTTTAAATCTCCAATAAATTATTTCCTAGTTGGTTTCCAAGAGATTGGTACTAATTTACACTGTCAATGACCTTGAGTATATAGTTTCCCACATGCCTGCCAAGTTTAAAAAATGTATTTTTGTTTTTTTGCAATTTAGTAAGTGTAAGCTGACATTTACATTTGATCCCCCCCCTCCTTTTTAGGTGGTACTGGGAATTGAAACTAGGCCCTCTCCTATGCTAGCTAAGTGCACTGCTGAAAAGCTATATGCCAGCCTCTAACTGTCATTAACTTTGGACACTTCCCATGTTTATCAACTCTATTTCCTCTCCAGGGAATTGTCTACTTGAATCCTTGGTTCATTTACTTTTGTTAAACCAACCCTCAGCTCTATTAATATTTTAAGATATTTCCTAGACTCTTGTTCATAATTCCTTATTTACTGACATGAAGTTTTTGTGAATTTGAATAAAATCTATCTTTCCTTTATGATCTACTTAACTGATCTGAAGACATCTTCCTTCCAGATAGGTAACAGTGAATTTAGCTTTCAGTTTTCCTATCTAGGGAGTAGACTGTGGCTTAATTTGAGAATACATGTGTATATAGGGCCAGATCAGTAAATAAGGGCACTCGACGACAAGTTTAATGACTTGAATTTGACCTCCAAGACTTACACAGTGTAAGGAGAGAACCAATTTCCTGCAAATTTGTTTCTGTCTTCCACATATATGCTATGGCAGGCATGACCATAAACACGCCTGGTAAATAAATGATGTGAAAATAAATAAATGTACATCTGGGATTTGTATGTGGTCAGAGTCGTAAGTCTCAATTTTCTCCAACATTGCCAACAAATAATCTTAGTACTATTTATGAACTGTAAGTGTTTACTCCTAAGGCAAAAGAGAGAGGATGAAAATGTGAGCCAGATCCTTGGAGATGAGTCAGCTGCCTGCGGAGGGATCAGCCCTGAACAGGAAGGTCAGTCCTTGCTTTGTATTTGAAGACAGGCAGCCGAGGGAGGTCTGTTTGGAAGACAGAAGAATTCCACCTTACGGCTTTGGTTTTTCTAACATGGAAAAGGGTTGCCTTTCCAAGCTCTACCCAGAGAGTCTGGGTTTCAGGCTAGTCAATCCAAACAGCACAAAGGTTCTGGTCCCCGAATGCTGGAAGATTATATTTTCAACTCCTTCAAGATCCCAAGGACTTCATCCTCCACACCACAGCCCTCTTTTTTAGATCTTTCCAGTCAGTCACATCAACCAACCAAGTAAATAACTATACCACAGACACCTGTACCACCTTGATAACTCACAAGAAACATCTATGCTTGGTCATTATGACAATCTAAGCTAGAACACAAGCAAAGCACAAAGCAAGTCCCAAGATAATTATCTTGGGATGAGAGAAGCCTGGACTCAAACCCCGGGACTCAGGAGTTCAAGCATTCTCCTTTCATCAGATGTTCTAGCAGGTAGGTTCTGTCTCATCAAGATATCTCCCCCTCATTCCTATATTCTCCCACCATCCCTGACGGCTACCTCATTATCCCAGCTGTGGGTGACAGACCTTCAGGGACTGCTAGAGAAAGCACTGAGCTACTCGGTGGCTCAGGTCAGCAAACTACTCGCTGAGAGGACCTCAAGCAACTTGCTTTCCAGGTCAGCCTTCCACACAACAGGATTTGACCTTTGAGCTGTTCTGAGGACAGAGTGACTTCATGTGTGTAAAGAGCTCAAAATAGATTTTAACATCAAACTCAATGAGCATGGCCAATATACTGGCTAATGGGCAATGCTATAAATCTATTCTAGCCTATCCCATCCAGCCCTCCCCCATGTCTTCTTGAGCCTTTTAACTCACCCCAAATGGACCAGTCACAACTCCCTACAAGGAACCTTGCTAAATCACTTTGACTCATTTAGCCTCTAACTCCACATGCTCACAAGAGTCACAAGAAATGGGGGGAAGAAATAATAATAACCCAGAAAGGAAAACTGAAGTAGTCTTAGACACATAAAGAACTCAAAAGGTTCTGTAAAACACCCTTTGCCCTCCGTGCAGGGGCCCACAAACGCAGCCTGTGGGCATAGGCTGCACCTTCAGCACCCCATGTTGCTGAAGACCTGAAGAAGTCTGGGCACGTCAGTGCTCCCCAGAGAGGAGGCCATGCCAGTGGTCATGGCAAGCTCCCTCTAGAGAAGGGAAGGACAAAGGGAGAGGAGAAAAACCACTGTTGTTTCTGGCCTTACTCTTAACTCTGCTGACTTTTCTTTCCCCAGCTTTACAGAAAGCTCCCGTGGCAATGCCAGTTTCTTCCAGATGAGCACAAAGAACCCGGGGCAGGGATTTTATTTCTCTGCTACTTTTTTCCTTCATTGTCTTGGCTCCTCTGGAGCACCTGCATTTAAAACCACAGGATCGACAAGCTGTTTAGGTCTTTTAAAGAGACACACTTTTTAACACAGTATCCACTGTGTATCCAGTGCTGAACCCAGTAGGCCCCAAGACAGAGTTCCTAACCCCTCAGCACACGGCTAGCCCTGTTTAAACTCAGGTCAAAACCAAAAGGGTCATGAATGTGGAAACATTTCTAGGGAAGGGGTGGGAGAGAAGAGTGGAGGCAGGGTGACAAGTTTTCCTTCATATTTTCCGTCTGAAGGAAGTACGTACAGGCAGAGAGCCAAACCAGGAAGCAGTAGGCAGGTGCTAGGGACAATTTGGCATCTAATCAAATCTTGTCCTTGCTATTTCCTGCCGTAAAACACTCTTTATAAAACACACGAGACGAAATAAAACTAATCATTATTGGAGAAAGGAGGCTCTGAGATATCCTCTTAAATAGAATTTCCGCTAGTCCTCTCTAATCAGCCCTGCAGAGGCAGCCCACCACACCTGTCTCTCTGCCCCATCTACTGGACTTTCTCAGCACCCATCCCTAAGTCTGAGAAATGTGACCCACTTTTCCGATTATCCGCAGCTACAGTCCTTTGGAAGCAGAGGACATTGCATGCTTGGTAGCAAATGCCCGGACGGCGGGACACTCGCAGCGCTTACCCGGCCCGGGCGAGGCCCCGGCGGTGTCCCCGGCGCGGCTGAGAGTGTAAGTACGGTAGCCCCGGAGCGGCGCGAACTTGCAGACGCTGCGGCCCCGCGCCGTGCAGTTGAACAAGTAGCAGCGGGGCGCGGGCATGGGAGCGGGCGCGCTGGGCCCCCGGGGCAGCTGCACCACCGCCACGGTGCAGCGCGGCTCGGAGCAGCAGGCCGCCACGCACTGCCGCCAGCCCCGCACGGTCCCGGGTGCGCGCAGGAAGCTGGCTCCGGCCGCGATGGAGTCTTGGGTGCGGATGATGGTATCGGGCACGGCCCGGTAGACCGCCGTACCGCCCGCGCCCGGGCAATCCTCCCGCGGGCCGCCGAGCAGCTCCGGTTCTAGCTCCTCGCGCGGCCGTGCCCGCTGCAGCTGCCGGCGGAAGTCCTGGAGCAGCCGATCGACCCCCGACGGCGGGGCGCCGGGCTCTCCGGGCCGGCCGCTCGGCAGCCAGAGGCAGAGCAGCAGCAGCCCGAGCAGCGCGCGGTGCCGGGAGCCCGGGCCCGGTCCTCCCGGGGCGGCCATGGCACGAGCGCGGCCTCAGAGCACGGCAGCCCCGGGGCCTGGCTGCTGCACGGAGGCGGCGGGCGTGCGGGCTTCGAGAGGCATCGTGCGCCGAGCCGGGCAGGGCCTGGCACCGCCCGGGCCCCACCTGGCTGCGGGCTTTGGGCGCCTCTAGCTTCGCTCCCGCCGCGGAAGCGCACCGGGGCAACGAGCGGCCTCTGCGTGGATCAGCACCGGCGTGCGGACAGCGGCTGCGGCGGGGGCGGGGCGGAGCCTGGGGGCGGGCCCGGGGGCGGGACTTCCGCGGGCCGGCGATTTCACCAGCGGTGCGGAAGAGAAGGAGGAGACTCCCTGTACTGCCGGGCTGCTCCGTGGAGTGATCTCACCCTGTGGATGTTGGGCCTAGCAGGCCTCATTAACCAACCAGACTCGTGGAAGGCCGTAGCTCGCAGGATAAGGCTCTCGGGGATGGAGGGGCGAGTCAGTCCACCAGTCTGAAGTCAGGGGCTACTCCAGCGAGCTACAGGCACAGCCAGGGAATCACAGACAACTTTGCCAGCCTTTTACACCCAACTTCTTTGCATTGTGCTTTATTAAAGAGATTTGGACTATGGTAGGTGATAAAGGAAACCAAACGTTTACCTTCAAATTCTAAATTTGACTTTCAGTTTCGTTTAGAGAGCTTAAACATCGGAAAGTTAGCAATGGAAAGCTGAACGTGTAAGTGAGGAGACAAAGGCCAAGGGGCATGAAAAAAATACCCTTTTTTGTAAGGGTGAGGGTTAAGCGGATTGAGATCGGCACATCAGTTTGCTGGGAGTTGAAATGGATGGCACTGGACTTAGTCTGGACTGATAGAACACAATACTGTTTGAACACAAATAGATGCCGTTTAAGATCAAGGTAACATCGTATCCATTTCGCAAATCAATGACAGTCCTCACAGGGTATCCTCACAGGGTAGAAGGCGCTTCCTAGGGTTTCCTAATCCCACTCAGAAGACCATACCATTATATTCTAAGTCACCATCTCAATAGTAGAGTGCCTGTATATATACAAGATCTGGAATTAAATTCCTAGCAACAAACACACATACACACACACACCCCTCCATCCCCATATACTATCCCACTGAGGATTAGGTTTCAATATGTGAATTTTAGTCTATACTTTAAGTCTATAGTAACCCATGTTCAATATTTCACAGACATTAAGTCAGTGCCCATGAAGTGTTTAGAAGGGTACCTGACACATGTAGAAATTCCTCATTGTTACTAATTTTGGACTCACCCTTTTGTGTTTTTAAATGTTTTTATTCTTTGAGAAGCACATACAATATATTTTTATCATATTCTATCCCTCCCCCCAACTCCACCCAGATCCTCCCTAAGCTTCCTACCCACCCAACTTCTTGTTTCTCTCTTTTTTTTTTTTTTTTGGTTTTTCGAGACAGGGTTTCTCTGTGTAGCTTTGCGCCTTTCCTGGAACTCACTTGGTAGTCCAGGCTGGCCTCGAACTCACAGAGATCCGCCTGGCTCTGCCTCCCGAGTGCTGGGATTAAAGGCGTGCGCCACCACCGCCCGGCTCTTGTTTCTCTCTTAAGAAATAAAACAAAAACAAAGACAAGATAAACCCCAGAAACATGCACTCTAATCTGTGTTAGCTAGTTACTCCCAGGCCAGCTCTGGAGTCACTTCCTGTCTGCAACTCTTGCAAGGGGCAGGGAGTCACTACCTATGGTTGCTAAGCTACAGTGGCCCTGTTGTGACACTTCCCTCCACTAGGGTTATAAATATTTGTGATCATTTACAGGGGTTGGTTACAAATTATTATTGGTTAAGGTAAGAAAAACTACTGCTAGTCTTAGATGCTTCATGCTGATGTGCTGATGCAAATTTAGAGTTATTTTTGTTATGGTATATGTATATTTCATTTCTGTTTTTGTTTAAAGTATCATAGCATATTCTAGGCTACTGAAGGAAACCAAAAGAAGGACTTTGATACAAGTTTTCATTTTATCTGAAAGTGAGAGAGAAGGCAGGAGACTGAAATCATGAAGAGAAGAGAAGACAAGAGAAAAGAAGAGAAGAAAGGAATTTGTCTGAAGTAAAACTGTCAGGCTGAATCAGAGGAGCAGAAATAGGAAAAGCCTGACCTGAGGATATATAGAAAGTTGTAGAAGGCTAGAGCGGATGTGAACTATATTTGCTTTGGTTTCTCATACCTGTGAATACTGAATTTGGAAAGAAACCATAAAATATGTTGGAAATTTGACCATATTAGGTTAATTCTGTTTTGTTTTCTTCATTTTTTTTTTTTGTTTTTTGTTTTTTTGAGACAGGGTTTCTTTGTAGCTTTGGAGCCTGTCCTGGACTAGCTCTGTAGACCAGGCTGGCCTCGAACTCACAGAGATCCACCTGCCTCTGCCTCCCAAGTGCTGGGATTACCAGTGTGCGCCGCCGCCGCCGCCGCCGCCGCCGCCACCGCCGCCACCCCGCCACCACCACCCGACTGTTTTTTTCATTTTTAAAAATAGCTGGTGAGCCGGGCGGTGGTGGCGCACGCCTTTAATCCCAGCACTCGGGAGGCAGAGCCAGGCGGATCTCTGTGAGTTCGAGGCCAGCCTGGGCTACCAAGTGAGTTCCAGGAAAGGCGCAAAGCTACACAGAGAAACCCTGTCTCGAAAAACAAAAAAAAAAAAAAAAAAAAAAAAAAAACAAAAAAAAAAAAAATAGCTGGTGAATCTTCACTGCAAAATGTTTATGTTAAAAATGGAGTCATGCTCTTTAAAGGATGGAGGAGAACTGAGGTCTCATGTCAGACTTATTTAAAGATATAATGTATAATTAAAAATACAGGTTAATAATTAATCATCATGTTACAGCCCTCTGAGTTATAGGGTTCTATATGACTGGCCTTCTATTAAATAGCAGGACTTAAGCCTTTAGCTAGTCAGGATTTCACAGAAAAGTTCAAACCTGTTTTCATCTATGGTCTGTAAATGAAAACTGCAGTGTAACTGCTCCTGTAATGTCTGAGGATATACATGTGTCTATGGATAGGGAAAAATGCTTATAAGACAAAAGCAAAACAAATGCAGAACTCTGGCCTGCAAAAAGCAACACTTCTAAAGAAGCCATTTTCAGATAAATACGGCTCTAACTTTATATGTGGTATCAGGAATGGCTGCCATCGGACCTCGAACAGCAGCACTGGCATGGGACTGTTGTATGATGATAGGAATGTAAGGTTAGATTTGTTACAACATACTGTACATGTGATTCAACTTGGTTTAGAATGTACTCTATATGGTGATGATAATTTAAGGTTATAAAGGTCTGTTCAGATGAACAAGAGCTAACTTAGAGATTTACACCTAAACACCTATGTCTTTGTCAAATGTTCAACACCAAGCTTCTAGAGAATTTAGATAAGTGGAAACATATGTTTGATAAATAATGTATTTGATAATATATATTCTTTTTTTTAAAGATTTATTTTATTTATTATGTAAACAGTGTTCTTTCTCCAAGTTTGCCATATGCCAGAATGGGGCATCAGATCTCATTATAGATGGTTGTGAGCCATCATGTGGTTGTTGAGAATTGAACTCAGGACCTCTGGAAGAGCAGACAGTGTTCTTAACCTCTGAGCCATCTCTCCAGCCCATATATATATATTCTATAATGGAGTTTCTGCTCCCCCAAGAGGGTCCTTTTCCCAGGGTTGGGCATTTGGGCAGGTGACCCTATGACTTATCAAGGGCAGTGCTGGCCTCCAGGCTCCCCCAGTCCCTGATCCCAGGCCACACCCCAACTCCCAGGCCACACCCCAGCTCACAGGCCACATTCCAACTCACAGGCCACACCCCAGCTCACAGGCCACACCCCAACTCCCAGGCCACACCCCAGCTCACAGGACACACCCCAACTCACAGGACACACCCCAACTCACAGGCCACACCCCAGCTCACAGGACACACCCCAACTCACAGGACACACCCCAACTCACAGGCCACACCCCAGCTCACAGGCCACACCCCAACTCCCAGGCCACACCCCAGCTCACAGGACACACCCCAACTCACAGGACACACCCCAACTCACAGGCCCCCATTCTTCTGTTCCCATTTGGCCCTGGGGATCTTCCCCCAGTCGCTTTTCCTTGCACTCTCAGGAGATAGCCTTGGTTTGGTACAAACTTGTTCCATTTTCACCCACAAAATGGCTATTTTGGTTCCTTTACTGAGCCCATTATCTATGATTAAAAAGTTTTATTTTGATACTAGAAGAGCTTCAACTCAAAAATCATTATTTTTAAGGCCAAACCTGACAGAAATGTAATGTAATGTCCTAGTCTTAGGAAAGCTGATAACTTATCATATACTGTTAAGGAACACAAGTTAATAGTCAGTCATCTTATAAATGATCAAGTTCTTTAATTGTAGTCATGCTAAGTACTAATATAATAAATTACAGGGATAAGCCTTACTTAGTCTCCTGTATATGTTTTCAAAGCAAAGCTTAAAGCAAGTGACTAGAAACAAAGTTTGTCTATTCAGACGTAACTAATAGATAGACAGTCCTCAAATGCTTCAGAAATCTGCAGAATATGGCATTTACAATGCTTAATGAAAAGCTTATTATGTCAGACAGAGACACCCAGTCAGCACCTAGCAATGACTCCCAAGGTCTCCAAAGAAGAACACAACAACTCCACCTGCATTGTTGATAACCCTGACCACTGGACAAAATGCCCCACAGCAATACCTGCTGCCGGGACCTGGTCCAGACTGGACAACTAGGACACTGGAGAATTGGTTGCCCCCCTTTGCCTAGACAAAGTAAGATCAATCTTTCATATGTTCCTCTTCCATAGGAAAAACTCTCACCTTATGGGCCTGACAGCCTAAGAGACTGATGCTGTCCTGATACCTCTGCCTTCCAGTGCTGTGGAGACCACGGGAGCCTGGGATGGCTAACTGGGTAGTGGACTAGTCTCTGTCATTTTTAATAGATTCAGAAGCTGCTTGGTCTGCACTTCTGTTTACTCAGGTATGATTTGTCATCCTCAGATCTCTGGCAGTATTGATGGTTAGGCTACCTATAACTTTGCCAGCTTGGCAGCATCTGACAACCAG